GAATTCAGAATTCAGAGGTTTTTCCTCAATCCCAATCCAAATTCCTGGGGTTTTTCCACCTAAGGGAGGAGGAATTCCTGGATCTGAGCTGGGAATTCTCTGGGAATGCTCTGGGTTGGGAAGGGACCTTTGGGATCATCCCATTTTCATCCCAAGAAAAGCAGGATTGAGGGGGTTGGGAATTCCAGGAATTCCAGAGGTTTTCCCTCATCCCAATCCAACATTCCTGGTTTTTTCCTCCTCAGGGAGGAGGAATTCCTGGATCTGAGCTGGGAATTCTCTGGGTGGGAAGGGACCTTTGGGATCCCCCATAGAGAAAACCAGGATGAGGGTTGGGAATTCCAGGAATTCCAGAGGTTTTTCCTCCATCCCAACCCAACATTCCTGGTTTTTTTCCTCCTCAGGGAGGAGGAATTCCTGGATTTGAGCTGGGAATTCTCTGGCTGGGAAGGGACCTTTGGGATCCCCCTGAGAAAACCAGGATGGGGTTGGGAATTCCAGGAATTCCAGAGGTTTTTCCCCCATCCCAATTCACATTCCTGGTTTTTTTTCCTCCTCAGGGAGGAGGAATTCCTGGATCTGAGCTGGGAATTCTCTGGGAATGCTCTGGGAGGGAAGGGATTTTGAATCATCCCATTTTCATCCCAAGAAAAGCAGGATTGAGGGGGTTGGGAATTCCAGGAATTCCAGAGGTTTTTCCCCATCCCAACCCAACATTCCTGGTTTTTTTTCCTCCTCAGGGAGGAGGAATTCCTGGATTTGAGCTGGGAATTCTCTGGGTGGGAAGGGACCTTTGAAATCCCCCTGAGAAAACCAGGATGGGGTTGGGAATTGCAGGAATTCCAGAGGTGTTTTCCTCAATCCCAATCCACATTCCTGGGTGTTTTTCCTCCTCAGGGAGGAGGAATTCCTGGATCTGAGCTGGGAATTCTCTGGGAATGCTCTGGGTTGGGAAGGGACCTTTGGGATCATCCCATTTTTTATCCCAAGAAAAGCAGGATTGAGGGGGGTTTGGGAATTGCAGGAATCCCAGGAATTCCAGAGGTTTTTCCCCCCATCCCAACCCAACATTCCTGGTTTTTTTTCCTCCTCAGGGAGGAGGAATTCCTGGATCTGAGCTGGGAATTCTCTGGGTGGGAAGGGACCTTTGGGATCCCCCTGAGAAAACCAGGATGGGGTTGGGAATTCCAGGAATTCCAGAGGTTTTTCCTCAATCCCAATCCAACATTCCTGGGGTGTTTTCCCACCAAAGGAGGAGGAATTCCTGGATCTGAGCTGGGAATTCTCTGGGAATGCTCTGGGTTGGGAAGGGACCTTTGGGATCATCCCATTTTTTATCCCAAGAAAAGCAGGATTGAGGGTTGGGAATTGGGAATTCCAGGAATTCCAGAGGTTTTCCTCAATCCCAACCCAACATTCCTGGTTTTTCCTCCTCAGGAGGAGGAATTCCTGGATCTGAGCTGGGAATTCTCTGGGTGGGAAGGGACCTTTGAAATCCCCTGAGAAAACCAGGATGGGGTTGGGAATTCCAGGAATTCCAGAGGTTTTCCTCAATCCCAATCCACATTCCTGGTTTTTTCCCTCCTCAGGGAGGAGGAATCCTGGATCTGAGCTGGGAATTCTCTGGGAATGCTCTGGGTTGGGAAGGACCTTTGGGATCATCCATTTTCATCCCAAGAAAACCAGGATTGAGGGTTGGGTCAGGAATTCCAGGAATTCCAGAGGTGTTTTTCCCCCATCCCAATTCACATTCCTGGTTTTTTTTCCTCCTCAGGGAGGAGGAATTTGTGGATTTGAGCTGGGAATTCTCTGGGTGGGAAGGGATTTTGAAATCCCCCTGAGAAAACCAGGATGGGGTTGGGAATTCCAGGAATTCCAGAGGTTTTTTCTCACCTCCCAATTCACATTCCTGGTTTTTTTTCCTCCTCAGGGAGGAGGAATTCCTGGATCTGAGCTGGGAATTCTCTGGGAATGCTCTGGGAATGCTCTGGGAATTCTCTGGGAAGTCTCTGGGAATGCTCTGGGTTGGGAAGGGACCTTTGGGATCATCCCATTTTTCATCCCAAGAAAAGCAGGATTGAGGGGGGTTGGGAATCCCAGGAATTCCAGAGGTTTTTCCCCCCATCCCAACCCAACATTCCCAGGGTGTTTTCCCACCAAAAGGGAGGAGGAATTCCTGGATCTGAGCTGGGAATTCTCTGGGAATGCTCTGGGTTGGGAAGGGACCTTTGGGATCATCCCAATTTTTATCCCAAGAAAAGCAGGATTGAGGGGGGTTGGGAATTCCAGGAATTCCAGGAATTCCAGAGGTTTTTTCCCCCATCCCAACCCAACATTCCTGGTTTTTTTTCCTCCTCAGGGAGGAGGAATTCCTGGATCTGAGCTGGGAATTCTCTGGGTGGGAAGGGACCTTTGGGATCCCCCTGAGAAAACCAGGATGGGGTTGGGAATTCCAGGAATTCCAGAGGTGTTTCCTCAATCCCAACCCAATGGGAATGCTCTGGGAATTCTCTGGGAATGCTCTGGGAATTCTCTGGGAATGCTCTGGGTTGGGAAGGGACCTTTGGGATCATCCCATTTTTCATCCCAAGAAAAGCAGGATTGAGGGGGGTTGGGAATTCCAGGAATTCCAGAGGTTTTTCCTCAATCCCAACCCAACATTCCTGGGTTTTTTTCCCCCTCAGGGAGGAGGAATTCGTGGATCTGAGCAAGGAATTCGAGCCCAGCCTGGTGAACAGCACAATTTACATCCTGTCCATGGCCATGCAGATGGCCACCTTCGCCATCAACTACAAGGTTTGGCATCCAGGAATTCCCTTGGAATATTCCCTTGGATATTCCCTGGATATTCCCAGGGATATTTCCTGAAATATTCCTTCCTTTCCCCACCCTAATTTCCAACTTTTCCTGCTGGGGATGGTTCTGAAAATCCCACCCCTGGTTTTGGGTTCTTTCACCTGAGGGATCTTTGGATTTCCACGGGAATCTTTTTCCATTTTCTTTGGGAAAAGATTCCCAAAACCCTTGGGAATCTTTTCCCATTTCCTTTGGGAAAAGATTTCCAAAATCCTTGGGAATCTTCTCCCATTTCCCTTGGAAAACTTTTCCTGCTTCCCTCCAGAACCATTTCCCATTTCCCTTAGGAATCTTTTCCCATTTTCTTTTGGGAATCTTTTACCATTTCCTTTGGGAATTTTTTCCCATTTCCCTTTGGAATCTTTTCCCACTTCCCTTGGGAATCTTTGCCTGCTTGGGAATCTTTGCCCATTTTCTTTAGGAAACTTTTCCCACTTCCCTTCAGAACCATTTCCCATTTCCCTTGGGAATCTTTGCCCGTTTTCCTTTGGAAAACTTTTCCCATTTCCCTTGAGAATCTTTTCCCATTTCCTTGGGAATCTTTTCCCATTTCCCTTGGGAATCTTTGCCCATTTCCCTTGGGAATCCTTTCCCATTTTCCTTTGGGAATCTTTGCCCATTTCCCTTGGGAATCTTTGCCCATTTCCCTTTGGGAATTTTTTCCCACTTCTCTTTGGAATCTTCTCCCATTTTCCTTGGGAATCTTTTCCCATTTCCCTTGGGAATCTTTCCCCATTTTCCTTTGGGAATCTTTGCCCATTTCCCTTTGGGAATTTTTTCCCACTTCTCTTGGGAATCTTTTCCCATTTCCCTTTGGGAATCTTTGCCCATTTTCCTTGGGAATCTTTTCCCATTTTCTTCGGGAAAAGATTCCCAAAACCCTTGGGAATCTTTTCCCATTTCCTTTGGGAATCTTTTCCCACTTCCTTTGGGAATCTTTTCCCACTTCCTTTAGGAATTTTTTACCATTTCCTTTGGGAATCTTTGCCCATTCCTTTTAGGAATCTTTTCACATTTTCCTTTGGAACCTTTTCCCATTTCCCTTGGGAATCTTTTCCCATTTCCTTTTGGGAATCTTTGCCCATTTCCTTTTGGGAATCTTTTCCCATTTCCCCTGGGAATCTTTTACCATTTCCCTTGGGAATCTTTTCCCATTTTCTTTGAGAATCTTCTCCCATTTTCCTTTGGGAATCTTTTCCCATTTCCCTTGGGAATCTTTGCCCATTTTCCTTGGGAATCTTTGCCTGCTTTGGGAATCTTTGCCCACTTCCTTTGGGAATCTTTTCCCATTTTCTTTGGGAATTTTTTCCCACTTCCTTTGGGAATCTTTTCCCAATTCCCTTGGGAATTTTTTCCCACTTCCTTTGGGAATCTTTTCCCATTTCCTTTGGGAATCTTTTCCCATTTCCCTTGGGAATCTTTGCCCACTTCCCTTGGGAACCTTTTCCAGTGTCCCATTCCCTCCTTTCCTTCCCATTATTCCCATTCCCTCCATCCCTTCCCATTCCCTCCTTTCCTTCCCATTCCCTCCATTCCTTCCCATTATTCCCATTCCCCCCTTCCCTTCCCTTCCCTTCCCTTCCCTTCCCTTCCCTTCCCTTCCCTTCCCTTCCCTTCCCTTCCCTTCCCTTCCCTTCCCTTCCTTCCCTTCCCTTCCCTTCCCTTCCCTTCCCTTCCCTTCCCATTCCCTCCAATCCTTCCCAGTATTCCCATTCCCCCAATCCCTTCCCATTTCCCCCTTCCTCCCCACCCCCAAATCCCTCCCCTCCTCCCCCATTGCCGGTCCCATTCCCTGTCTCATTCCCTTTCCCAGTCCCATTCCCAGTGCCACTCCCATTCTCATTCCCATTCCCATTGCCATTCCCTCATTCCCTGTCCCATTCCCAGTGCCATTCCCTGTCTCATTCCCATTCCCTGTCTCATTCCCTGTGTCATTCCCTGTCGTTCTCATTCCCATTCCCACTCCCACTCCCATTCCCTTCCCATTCCCATTCCCACTCCCATTCCCTTCCCACTCCCATTCCCATCCCATCCCCATCCCCATTCCCACTCCCATTCCCTTCCCACTCCCATTCCCATTCCCATTCCCAGTGCCATTCCCATTCCCATTCTGTTCCCACTCCCATTCCCATTCCCATCCCCATTCCCATTCCCATTCTGTTCCCACTCCCATTCCCATTCCCATCCCCATTCCCATTCCCATTCTGTTCCCACTCCCATTCCCATTCCCATCCCCATTCCCATTCCCATTCTGTTCCCATTCCCATTCCCATTCCCATCCCCATTCCCATTCCCATTCTGTTCCCACTCCCATTCCCATTCCCATCCCCATTCCCATTCCCATTCCCACCCCCATTCCCATTCCCATCCCCATCCCATTCCCATCCCATTCCCATCCCCATCCCCATTCCCATCCCATTCCCATCCTGTCCCCATTCCCATCCCCATCCCATTCCCACCCCATTCCCATTCCCATCCCCATCCCCATTCCCATTCCCATCCCCATTCCCATCCCCATTCCCATTCCCAGTCATTCCCACCCCCATTCCCATTCCCATTCCCAGTCACTCCCATCCCCATTCCCAGTCATTCCCACTCCCATTCCCAGTCATTCCCACTCCCATCCCATCCCCATCCCATTCCCATTCCCATCCCCATCCCCATTCCCATTCCCATCCCATTCCCATCCCCATCCCATTCCCATTCCCTGTCCCATCCCATTCCCATCCCCATTCCCATCCCACTCCCATCCCCTTCCCATTCCCATCCCATTCCCAGTCATTCCCACCCCATTCCCATCCCATTCCCAGTCATTCCCACTCCCATTCCCATCCCATTCCCATCCCATTCCCATCCCATTCCCATCCCCATTCCCATCCCATTCCCAGTCATTCCCATCCCATTCCCATCCCATTCCCATCCCCATTCCCATTCCCATTCCCATTCCCACTCCCATTCCCATTCCCATCCCCATTCCCATTCCCAGTCATTCCCATCCCATTCCCAGTCATTCCCATCCCATTCCCATCCCATTCCCATCCCCATTCCCAGTCATTCCCATCCCCATTCCCATCCCATTCCCAGTCATTCCCATCCCCATTCCCATCCCATTCCCAGTCATTCCCATCCCATTCCCATCCCATTCCCACTCCCATTCCCAGTCATTCCCATCCCATTCCCACCCCATTCCCAGTCATTCCCATCCCCATTCCCATTCCCATTCCCATTCCCATCCCATTCCCAGTCATTCCCATCCCATTCCCATCCCATTCCCATTCCCATTCCCATCCCATTCCCAGTCATTCCCAGTCATTCCCATCCCATTCCCATCCCCATCCCCATCCCCATTCCCATTCCCATCCCCATTCCCATCCCCATTCCCATTCCCATCCCCATTCCCATTCCCATTCCCATTCCCATCCCATTCCCACTCCCATTCCCATCCCATTCCCAGTCATTCCCACTCCCATTCCCATCCCATTCCCATTCCCTGTCTCATTCCCACTCCCATCCCCATTCCCATTCCCATCCCATTCCCATCCCATTCCCTTCCCATTCCCATCCCCATTCCCATCCCATTCCCATCCCCATTCCCATCCCATTCCCATCCCATTCCCAGTCATTCCCAGTCATTCCCAGTCATTCCCATCCCCATTCCCACCCCATTCCCCATTCCCATCCCATTCCCATCCCATTCCCAGTCATTCCCATCCCATTCCCAGTCATTCCCAGTCATTCCCATCCCATTCCCGGTTTTTTTTCCAGGGCCATCCGTTCATGGAGAGCCTCGTGGAGAACAAACCCCTCCTGTGGAGCCTCCTCCTGTCTGGAATTGCCATCCTGGGGCTCCTCTGCGGCTCCTCCCCGGAATTCAACCTGCACTTCGGCCTCGTCCACATCCCCACCGAGGTATTCCCACAATTCCAGGCCTTTTCCGTGGGAATTCTCATCGGGAATGTGGGGGTGGATTGAAGGGATGGGATCCCAAGGGGATTCCAAGGGGATTTTGGAGCTTCCCATGGGATTTTGGGATCCAAATCCAGGCTGGGAAGGGTGGGAATCTCTCAGGGAGATCCCCAATGAGGAAATCCTGGAATTCCAGGGCTGTTTCCATGGGAATTTTCATTGGGAATGTCAGGGTGGATTGACCTGAGGGGGTTTTGGAGCTTCCCATGGGATTTTGGGGTAATTTTGGGGCATTCCTGGGGTCCAAATCCAGGCTGGGAAGGGTGGGAATCTCTCAGGGAGATCCCCAATGAGGAAATCCTGGAATTCCAGGGCTGTTTCCATGGGAATTTTCATTGGGAATGTCGGGGTTGGATTGACCAGAGGGGTTTTTTTGGAGCTTCCCATGGGATTTTGGGGCAATTTTGGGGCATTCCTGGGATCCAAATCTGGGTTGGGAAGGGTGGGAATCTCTCAGGGAGATCCCCAATGAGGAAATCCTGGAATTCCAGGCCTGTTCCATGGGAATTTTCATTGGGAATGTCGGAGTGGATTGAAGGGATGGGATCCCAAGGGGGTTCCAAGGGGGTTTGGGGTAATTTTGGGGGTTTTTTGGAGCTTCCCATGGGATTTTGGGATCCAAATCCAGGTTGGGAAGGGTGGGAATCTCTCAGGGAGATCCCCAATGAGGAAATCCCAAAATTCCAGGCCTTTTCCATGGGAATTTTCATTGGGAATGTGAGGGTGGATTGACCAGAGGGGGTTTTTTGGAGCTTCCCATGGGATTTTGGGGCAATTTTGGGATCCAAATCCAGGTTGGGAAGGGTGGGAATCTCTCAGGGAGATCCCCAATGAGGAAATCCTGGAATTCCAGAGCCATTCCCATGGGAATTTTCATCGGGAATGTCGGGGTGGATTGAAGGGATGGGATCCCAAGGGGGTTTTTTGGAGCTTCCCATGGGATTTTGGGGCAATTTTGGGATCCAAATCCAGGTTGGGAAGGGTGGGAATCTCTCAGGGAGATCCCCAATGAGGAAATCCCGGAATTCCAGGGCTGATTCCATGGGAATTTTCATTGGGAATGTCGGGGTGGATTGAAGGGATGGGATCCCAAGGGGGTTTTTTGGAGCTTCCCATGGGATTTTGGGGCAATTTTGGGGCATTCCTGGGGTCCAAATCCAGACTGGGAAGGGTGGGAATCTCTCAGGGAGATCCCCACTGAGGAAATCCTGGAATTCCAGAGCCTTTTCCATGGGAATTCTCATCGGGAATGTCAGGATGGATTGACCTGAGGGGGTTTTTTGGAGCTTCCCATGGGATTTTGGGGCAATTTTGGGGCAATTTTGGGGTCCAAATCCAGGTTGGGAAGGGTGGGAATCTCTCAGGGAGATCCCCAATGAGGAAATCCTGGAATTCCAGGGCTGATTCCATGGGAATTTTCATTGGGAATGTGGGGGTGGATTGAAGGGATGGGATCCCAAGGGGGTTTTTTGGAGCTTCCCATGGGATTTTGGGGTCCAAATCCAGGTTGGGAAGGGTGGGAATCTCTCAGGGAGATCCCCAGTGAGGGAATCCCAAAATTCCAGAGCTGTTTCCATGGGAATTTTCATTGGGAATGTGGGGGTGGATTGAAGGGATGGGATCCCAAGGGGATTTTGGAGCTTCCCATGGGATTTTGGGGCAATTTTGGGGCATTTCTGGGCTCCAAATCCAGGTTGGGAAGGGTGGGAATCTCTCAGGGAGATCCCCAATGAGGAAATCCTGGAATTCCAGGGCCTTTTCCATGGGAATTTTCATCGGGAATGTCGGGGTGGATTGAAGGGATGGGATCCCAATGGGATTCCAAGGGGGTTTTTTGGAGCTTCCCATGGGATTTTGGGGTCCAAATCCAGGTTGGGAAGGGTGGGAATCTCTCAGGGAGATCCCCACCGAGGTATTCCCAAAATTCCAGGCCTTTTCCATGGGAATTCTCATCGGGAATGTCAGGGTGGATTGAAGGGATGGGATCCCAAGGAGTTCCAAGGGATTTTGGGCTTCCTATGGGATTTTGGGATCCAAATCCAGGCTGGGAAGGGTGGGAATCTCTCAGGAGATCCCCTAATGAGGCAATCCTGAAATTCCAGGGCTTTTCCATGGGAATTTCTCATTGGGAATGTGCAGGTGATTGAAGGGGATGGGATCCCAAGGGTTTTGGGGCAATTCTTGTGGGCATTCTGGGATCCAAACCAGGTTGGGAAGGGTGGGAATCTCTCAGGAGATCCCCAATGAGAAATCCCGGAATTCCAGGGCTTTTCCATGGGAATTTTCATTGGGAATGAGGGTGGATTGAAGGGATGGGATCCCAAGGGGTTTTGAGCTTCCCATGGGATTTTGGGACCAAATCCAGGTTGGAAAGGGTGGGAATTTCTCAGGAGATCCCCAATGAGGAAATCCCGAAATTCCAGAGCAGTTCCATGGGAATTTCATCGGAATGTGAGGTGGATTGACCGAGGGGATTTTGGAGCTTCCCATGGGATTTTGGGGCACTTGGGGCATTCCTGGGTCCAAATCCAGGTTGGGAAGGGTGGGAATCTTCTCAGGAGATCCCCAATGAGGAAATCCTGAATTCCAGGGCTGTTCCATGGGAATTTTCATCATTGGGAAATGTCGGGTGGATTGAGCGATGGGATCCTCAGAGGGTTTTTGAGCTCTAGGATTCTCTGGGAGCAGATTTTTTGGGGCTAATCTTGGGGCATTCCTGGGGTCCAAACTAGGTTGGGAAGGGTGGGAATCTCTCAGGGAGATCCCCAATGAGGGAATCCCAAAATTCCAGGCCTTTTCCATGGGAATTTTCATCGGGAATGTCAGGGTGGATTGACCTGAGGGGGTTTTTTGGAGCTTCCCATGGGATTTTGGGGCAATTTTGGGGTCCAAATCCAGGCTGGGAAGGGTGGGAATCTCTCAGGGAGATCCCCAATGAGGAAATCCCAAAATTCCAGGGCTTTTCCATGGGAATTTTCATTGGGAATGTGAGGGTGGATTGACCTGAGGGGGTTTTTTGGAGCTTCCCATGGGATTTTGGGGTCCAAATCCAGGTTGGGAAGGGTGGGAATCTCTCAGGGAGATCCCCAATGAGGAAATCCTGGAATTCCAGGACTGTTTCCATGGGAATTTTCATTGGGAATGTCAAGGGTGGATTGAAGGGATGGGATCCCAAGGGGGTTTTGGGGCAATTTTGGGGCATTCCTGGGGTCCAAATCCAGGTTGGGAAGGGTGGGAATCTCTCAGGGAGATCCCCAGTGAATTAATCCCAAAATTCCAGGCCTTTCCTGGGAATTTTCATTGGGAATGTCAAGGTGGATTGAAGGGATGGGATCCCCAGGGGGTTTTTTGGAGCTTCCCATGGGATTTTGGGGCAATTTTGGGATCCAAATCCAGGTTGGGAAGGGTGGGAATCTCTCAGGGAGATCCCCAATGAGGAAATCCTGGAATTCCAGGCCTGTTTCCATGGGAATTTTCATTGGGAATGTCGGGGTGGATTGAAGGGATGGGATCCCAAGGGGGTTTTTTGGAGCTTCCCATGGGATTTTGGGGCAATTTTGGGGCATTCCTGGGATCCAAATCCAGGTTGGGAAGGGTGGGAATCTCTCAGGGAGATCCCCAATGAATTAATCCCAAAATTCCAGGCCTTTTCCATGGGAATTTTCATTGGGAATGTGGGGGTGGATTGAAAGGATGGGATCCCAAGGGGGTTTTGGGGTAATTTTGGGGGTTTTTTGGAGCTTCCCATGGGATTTTGGGGTCCAAATCCAGGTTGGGAAGGGTGGGAATCTCTCAGGGAGATCCCCAATGAGGGAATCCTGGAATTCCAGGGCTGATTCCATGGGAATTTTCATCAGGAATGTCAGGGTGGATTGACCAGAGGGGGTTTTGGAGCTTCCCATGGGATTTTGGGGCAATTTTGGGACATTCCTGGGGTCCAAATCCAGGTTGGGAAGGGTGGGAATCTCTCAGGGAGATCCCCAATGAGGGAATCCCAAAATTCCAGGCCTTTTCCATGGGAATTTTCATTGGGAATGTGGGGGTGGATTGAAGGGATGGGATCCCAATGGAATTCCAAGGGGGTTTTTTGGAGCTTCCCATGGGATTTTGGGGCAATTTTGGGGCATTCCTGGGGTCCAAATCCAGGTTGGGAAGGGTGGGAATCTCTCAGGGAGATCCCCAATGAGGAAATCCTGGAATTCCAGAGCTGTTTCCATGGGAATTTTCATTGGGAATGTGGGGGTGGATTGACCAGAGAGGGTTTTTTGGAGCTTCCCATGGGATTTTGGGGCAATTTTGGGGCATTCCTGGGGTCCAAATCCAGGTTGGGAAGGGTGGGAATCTCTCAGGGAGATCCCCAATGAGGAAATCCTGGAATTCCAGGGCCTTTTCCATGGGAATTTTCATTGGGAATGTCAGGGTGGATTGAAGGGATGGGATCCCAAAGGCGTTCCAAGGGGGTTTTTTGGAGCTTCCCATGGGATTTTGGGATCCAAATCAGGGTTGGGAAGGGTGGGAATCTCTCAGGGAGATCCCCAGTGAGGGAATCCTGGAATTCCAGAGCTGATTCCATGGGAATTTTCATTGGGAATGTCAGGGTGGATTGAAGGGATGGGATCCCAATGGAATTCCAAGGGGGTTTTTTGGAGCTTCCCGTGGGATTTTGGGGCAATTTTGGGGCAATTTTGGGGCATTCCTGGGGTCCAAATCCGGGTTGGGAAGGGTGGGAATCTCTCAGGGAGATCCCCACTGAGGGAATCCTGGAATTCCAGGGCTGATTCCTTGGGAATTTTCATTGGGAATGTGGGGGTGGATTGAAGGGATGGGATCCCAAGGGGGTTTTGGGGTAATTTTGGGGCATTCCTAGGAAATTGGGAATTCTGAGAACTTGGGAATTCTGGGCAATTCCTGGGGAATTGGGAATTCTGGGAAATTGGGAATTCTGAAAAATTCCTGGGAAATTGGGAATTCTGGGAAATTGGGAATTCTGGGGGGGATTCCTGAGGAAATTGGGAATTCTGGGGGACATTCCTGGGAAATTGGGAATTCTGGGAAATTGGGAATTCTGGGCAATTCCTGGGAAATTGGGAATTCTGGGAAATTGGGAATTCTGGAGGGGATTCCTGGGAAATTGGGAATTTATGGGGGGATTCCTGGGAAATTGGGAATTCTGGGAAATTGGGAATTCTGAGGGGATTCCTGGGAAATTGGGAATTCTGGGAAATTGGGAATTCTGGAGGGGGAATTTTTGGGAAGGAATCCTTGGCTGGGAAGGGATTTGAGTTGGAATTCCCAGAGAAAACTCGGGAATTCCCATCCCTGGAAGTGCCCAAGGCCAGGTTGGATCCCCCTCTGATCCCAAAAAAACCTCCCTTACCCTTGGAATTCCAACTGGAAAAAACCCAACCTTCCAATCCTTTCCCAATCCCAAAAATCCCCTCAATAATCCCAGTTTTTTCCCTTCTTTTCCATCCTTTATTCCCAGTTTTTCCCCTTCTTTTCCACCCTTTTTTCCCATTTTTTTCCCTTCTTTTCCATCCTTTTTTCCCATTTTTCCCTTCTTTTCCCCCATTTTTTTCCCTTCTTTTCCATCCTTTTTTCCCCATTTTTCCCTTCTTTTCCACCCTTTTTCCCCATTGAAATTACCAATTCCCTCAATAATCCCATTTTTTCCCCTTCCTTTCCCAGTTTAAATTGGTCATTTCCCCTCAATAATTCCATTTTTTTCCCTTCTTTTCCCCCATTTTTTCCCCTTCTTTTCCCAGTTCAAATTGCCGATTTCCCCTCAATAATTCCATTTTTTTTCCCTTCTTTTCCCCCATTTTTTCCCTTCCTTTCCCAGTTCCAAGTGATGATTTCCCCTCAATAATCCCATTTTTTTCCCTTCTTTTCCCAGTTTAAATTGGTGATTTCCCCTCAATAATCCCATTTTTTCCATCCTTTTTTCCCATTTTTTTCCCTTCTTTTCCACCCTTTTTTCCCAGTTCCAAGTGATGATTTCCCATCAATAATCCGTTTTTCCCATCCTTTTTTTCCATTTTTTCCCCTTTTTTCCCCCATTTTTTTCCCTTCTTCTCCATCCTTTTTTCCCATTTTTTCCCCTTCTTTTCCCCCATTTTTTTCCCTTCTTCTCCATCCTTTTTTCCCATTTTTTCCCCTTCTTTTCCCCCATTTTTTTCCCTTCTTTTCCATCCTTTGTTCCCATTTTTTCCCCTTCTTTTCCATCCTTTTTTCCCTTTTTTTTTCCTTCTTTTCCCTTCTTCTCCACCCTTTTTCCCCATTTTTTCCCCTTCTTTTCCACCCTTTTTTCCCATTTTTTCCCCTTCTTTCTCCACCCTTTTTTCCCATTTCCAAGTGATGATTTCCCCTCAATAATCCCATTTTTTTCCCTTCTTTTCCCAGTTTAAATTGGTCATTTCCCCTCAATAATCCCATTTTTTCCCTTCTTTTCCCCCATTTTTCCCCTTCTTTTCCCATTTTTTTCCCTTCTTCTCCACCTTTTTTTTTTCATTTTTTCCCTTCTTTTCCCCCATTTTTTTCCCTTCTTTTCCATCCTTTTTTCTCCATTTTTTTTCCTTCTTTTCCATCCTTTTTTCCCATTTTTTCCCCTTCTTTTCCCCTATTTTTTCCCATCTTTTCTCCCATTTTTCCCCTTCTTTCCCACCCTTTTTTCCCAGTTCCAAGTGCTGATTTCCCCTCAATAATCCCATTTTTCCCCCTTCTTTTCCCAGTTCAAAGTGGTGATCTCCCAGGTGGTGGTTGGCGATTTCCTGCTGGCTCTTTCCGTGGATCGACTCCTGCAATTCCTGCTGGGAAGCTCCAAGCTCCAAGTGCCTTCCTGAGGGGCAATTCCCAATTTTTTTGGTTCTTTCCCTCCCCTCCCCCCAATAAAAATTCCCAACAATCTGAAATTCCCATTAAAGAGGAGTTTTTAGGGGGGGATTTTTCCAACCCCAAATCCGAGGGTTGGGTGGAGGAAAAAGTCGGATTTTTTTGGGGATGGGGTTTGGTTTTCTGGGAATTTTGGGGGGGAAAGGAGGGAGGGGGGAGGGGAATTCCTGGGATTTGGGGGAAAAGTTTTGGGTTTTAAGGGGGAAAGGGGGAAATTTTTAAGGAAAACGCTCAAATTTTAAGGAATTTTCAGGAATTTTCATGGGAAATCCTCACATTTTCATGGAAAATGCTCAAATTTTAAGAAATATTTGGGAATTTTCATGGGAAATGGTGAAATTTTCCAGGAAAACGCTCAAATTTTAAGGAATTTTTGGGAATTTTCATGGGAAATCCTCAAATTTTCAAGGAAAACGCTCAAATTTTAAGGAATTTTTTGGAATTTTCATGGGAAATGCTGAAATTTTCAAGGAAAACGCTCAAATTTTAAGGAATTTTTTTGAATTTTCACGGGAAATCCTGGAATTTTTAAGGAAAACGCTCAAATTTTAAGGAATTTTTGGGAATTTTCATGGGAAATCCTGGAATTTTTAAGGAAAACGCTCAAATTTTAAGGAATTTTTGGGAATTTTCACGGGAAATCCTGGAATTTTTGTGGGAAATCCTGGAATTTTCTTGGAAAATACTCAAATTTTCAAGGAAAATCCATGATTTTTCAAGGAAAATCCACAATTTTTCAAGAAAAATCCTTGGATTTTCAAGGAAAACACTCGGATTTTGAGGAATGTGATGGAATTTTCATGGGAAATCCTCAAATTTTCATGGAAAATGCTCAAATTTTAAGGAATTTTTGGGAATTTTCACGGGAAATCCTGGAATTTTTAAGGAAAACACTCAAATTTTAAGGAATTTTTGGGAATTTTCACAGGAAATCCTGGAATTTTCATGGAAAACGCTCAAATTTTAAGGAATTTTTGGGCATTTTCACAGGAAATCCTGGAATTTTCGTGGGAAATGCTCGAATTTTCAAGGAAAATCCACAGTTTTTTAAGGAAAATCCACAATTTTTCAAGGAAAATCCTTGAATTTGCAAGGAAAATCCACAATTTTTCAGAGAAAATCCTGGAATTTTGAAGGAAAATCCTTCAATTTTCAAGGAAAATCCTTGAATTTCCTTAAAAATCCTTGGAATTCCTTAAAAATCCTTGGAATTTCCTTTAAAATCCTCAAATTTTCCAGGAAACCTTTCAAATTTTCATGGAAAACCCTCAAATTTCCAAGGAAAATCCTTGAAATTTCCTTAAAAATCCTCAGATTTTCCAGGAAACCCCTCCAATTTTCACGGAAACCCCTCAAATTTCCAAGGAAAATCCTTGGAATTCCTTAAAAAACCCTAGGAATTTCCTTAAAAATCCCCAAATCCCTCAGGAAAAGGGGAAAAATCCGGGATAAATCCCCTTAAAAGAGTCAGGAATTCTTGGCTAGGGAAGGAATCGCTTTTATTTCCTCCAAAACCTCTGGAATTTTCCCTCTGGAATTCCGGGAAGGGGGTTCAGGTCGGGGGGGGCAGCGCCGTCCTCTCCACCAGGAATCCATAATTGTACTGGAAAAAAAGCAGGAAAAACGGGAATGGGAAAGCTCAGGAACATTCCCAGAATTCCCAACAATCCCAGAATTCCTGGAATTCCTGGAATTTCCCGGAATTTCCCGGAATTTTCCCGGAATTCCCAAGGATTTCACCTCCTGCTCGATGTCGGCCAAGGATTTCACCGTCAGCTCCGCCAGGATGGGCTGGAAATCGTTAATTAAGGGGGTTAATTAAGGGAATTGGGGTTAATTAAAGGGGGGAGGTGTTAATTAGGGGGTGGGAGTTAATTAGGAGGGTGGGGAGTTAATTGGGGGTGGGGGTTGATTAGGAGGGGTTAATTAAGTAAAAGGGGGACTCACCAAGCTGGGGAAATCGTTAATTAAGGGGGTTAATTAAGGAGGTGGGGGTTAATTAAGGGGGATTGTTAATTAGGGGTGGGGGTTAATTAGGGAGTTGGTGGTTAATTGGTGGTAATTAGGGGGTTAATTAAGTAAAGGGGAACTCACCAAGCTGGAGAAATCGTTAATTAAGGGGGTTAATTAAGGGAATTGAGGGTTAATTAAAAGGGAGTTGTTAATTAAGGGGTGGGGAGTTAATTAGGGAGTTGGGAGTTAAATGGTGGGTAATTAGGGGGTTAATTAAGTAAAGGGGACTCACCAAGCTGGGGAAAAGGGGGAAATTGTTAATTAAGGGGTTAATTAAGGGAGGTGGGGGTTAATTAGGAGGGGATTCTTAATTGGGGGATTGTTAATTAAGGGAGTTGGAGTTAATTGGGGGTTGGGAGTTAATTAGGGGGTGGGGGTTAATTAGGGGGTTAATTAAGTAAAAGGGGGACTCACCAAGCTGGGAAATCATTAATTAAGGGGGTTAATTAAGGGAATTGGGGGTTAATTAAAGGGGGAGTTGTTAATTAGGGGGTGGGGAGTTAATTGGGAGGGGTTGGGGTTAATTAGGGGGTTGGGGGTTAATTAGGAGGGGTTAATTAGGTAAAAGGGGGACTCACCAGGCTGGGAAAAGGGGAATATTGTTAATTAAGGGGTTAATTAAGGGAATTGGGGGTTAATTAGGGAGGGGGATTCTTAATTAAGGGGGTGGGAGTTAATTAGGAGGGGTTGGGGTTAATTAGGGGGGGTGGGTGATTAATTAGGGGGGGTTAATTAAGTAAAAAGGGGGGACTCACCAGGATGGGGAAAATTGTTAATTAAGGGGGTTAATTAAGGGAGGTGGGGGTTAATTAAAGGGGATTGTTAATTAAGGGGTTGGAGTTAATTAGGGAGTTTGGGGGGTTAATTAGGGGGGCTGGGGGGTTAATTAGGGGGGTTAATTAAGTAAAAGGGGGGACTCACCAGGCTGGGGAAAAGGGGGGGAAATTGTTAATTAAAGGGGTTAATTAAGGAGGGGATTGTTAATTAAGGGTCTGGGGGTTAATTAGGGGATTAATTAATTAAAGAGGGGACTCACCAGGCTGAGCTTGGGCTGGAATTTGGGGTGGAGGGCGAAGGGAATTCCGGCCATGGCTGGAAAAGGGGGAAGAAAAAAAAACAGGGAAAAAAAAAAAAGTGGGATTTGGGAATGGGAAAAATGTCCAGGAATTCCAAAGAATTCCAGGAATTCCAAAGAATAGCCAGGAATTCCAGGATATTCCAGGAATTCCAAAGAATATCCAGGAATTCCAAAGAATTCCAGGAAATTTGGAGCTGGATTATCCTGGAAATGCAGAATTGGAGGGAAAAAGGAGGGAAAAGTGGGATTTGGGAGTGGAAAATAGCCAGGAATTCCAGGATATTCCAGGAATTCCAAAGAATATTCCAGGAATTCCAAAGAAAATTCCAGGAATTCCAAAGAATTCCAGGAATCAGGAGCTGGATTATCCTGGAAATGGGTGGAAAAAGGAGGGAAAAGTGGGATTTGGGGATGGGAAAAATATCCAGGAATTCCAAAGAATATCCAGGAATTCCAAAGAATATCCAGGAATTCCAAAGAATATTCCAGGAATTCCAAAGATATTCCAGGAATTCCAAAGAAATTCCAGGAATTCCAAAGAATTCCAGGAAATTTGGAGCTGGATTATCCTGGGAATGCAGAATTGGAGGGAAAAAGGAGGGAAAAGTGGGATTTGGGAATGGGAAAATGTCCAGGAATTCCAGAATATTCCAGGAATTCCAAAGAATATTCCAGGAATTCCAAAGAATATTCCAGGAATTCCAAAGAATTCCAGGAAATTTGGAGCTGGATTATCCTGGAAATGCAGAATTGGAGGGAAAAATGGAGGGAAAAGTGGGATTTGGGAATGGGAAAAATGTCCAGGAATTCCAGGAATCCTCTGGAAAAGAGGGAATATTTTGGGAATCTTGGAATCTTTTGGGAATCTTGGAATTCTTTGGGAATCCTGGAATATTTGGGGAATTTTGGGAATCCTTTGGGAATCCTGGAGTTATTTGGGAATCTTGGAATATTTTGGGAATCTTGGAATTCTTGAAGAATCTTGGAATTCTTTGGGAATCCTGGAATATTTTGGGAATCTTGAAATTCTTGGGGAATTCTGGAATATTTTGGGAATCCTGGAATTCTTGGGGAATCTTGGAATATTTTGGGAATCCTGGAGTATTTGGGAATTTTGGAATATTTTGGGAATCCTGGAATATTTTGGGAATCTTGGAATATTTTTGGAATGGGGGAATTTTGGGAATCTTGGAATATTTTGGGAATCTTGGAATATTTTGGGAATCCTGGAATTCTTTGGGAATCTTGGAATCCTCTGGAAAAGGAGGAATATTTTGGGAATGGGGGAATTTTAGGAATTCTTTGGGAATCCTGGAATTCTTTGGAAATCTTGGAATATCTTTGGGAATCCTGGAATATTTTGGGAATGGGGGAATTTTGGGAATCCTGGAATTCTTTGGGAATCCTGGAATATTTTGGGAATCCCAAAATCCTTTGGGAAGGATTTTACCCTCCCCTCCCCCACCCTCTTCCCAAATCCCAGCAATCCCAGGAAAAAAAAGGGGGTTTTTTTTTGGGGGGGGAGCCCCAAAATTGGGGGTTTTTTTGTGGGGAATTCCCAGAAAAATTCCTGGAAAAATTCCTGGAAGAATTCCCAGAATTCCCAGAAGAATTCCTGGAAAAATTCCTGGAATTCCCAGAAAAATTCCTGGAAGAATTCCCGGAAAAATTCCCAGAAAAATCCCCGGAATTCCCAGAAAAATTCCAGGAAAAATTCCAGGAAAAATTCCAGGAAAAATTCCCGGAATTCCCAGAAGAATTCCCAGAAGAATTCCCAGAAAAATTCCAAGAAAAATTCCCAGAAAAACTCCCGGAAAAATTCCCAGAATTCCCAGAAGAATTCCCAGAAAAATGTCCGGAATTCCCAGAAGAATTCCCGGACAAATTCCTGGAAAAATTCCAGGAAAAATTCCCGGAAAAATTCCCAGAATTCCCGGAAGAATTCCCAGAAAAATTCCTGGAAAAATTCCCGGAAAAATTCCCGGAATTCCCAGGAAAATTCCTGGAAAAATTCCCGGAATTCCCAGAAGAATTCCCAGAAAAATTCCTGGAAAAATTCCTGGAATTCCCTGAAGAATTCCTGGAAAAATTCCCAGAAGAATTCCTGGAAAATTCTGGAAAATTCTCGAAAATTCCGGAATTCCCAGAAGAATTCCCGGAAAAATTCCCGGAAAAATTCCCAGAAAAATTCCTGGAAAAATTCCCGGAAAAATTCCCAGAATTCCCGGAAGAATTCCCGAAAAAATTCCTGGAAAAATTCCCAGGAAAAATTCCCGGAAAAATTCCCGGAAAAATTCCCAGAATTCCCGGAAGAATTCCTGGAAAAATTCCCGGAATTCCCAGAAGAATTCCTGGAAAAATTCCAGGAAAAATTCCTGGAAAAATTCCCGGAATTCCCAGAAGAATTCCTGGAAAAATTCCAGGAAAAATTCCTGGAAAAATTCCCGGAAAAATTCCCAGAATTCCCAGAAAAATTCCTGGAAAAATCCCTGGAAAAATTCCCAGAATTCCCAGAAGAATTCCTGGAAAAATTCCCAGAATTCCCGGAAGAATTCCTGGAAAAATTCCCAGAAAAATTCCTGGGAAAATTCCCAGAATTCCCGGAAGAATTCCTGGAAAAATTCCCAGAAGAATTCCCAGAAAAATTCCTGGAAAAATTCCCAGGAAAATTCCCAGAATTCCCAGGAAAAACTTTACCTGAGAATCCGTAAATCCCGCAGGGCTCGGGCGGAGATTCCGGAGGGGAGCGGCTCTTGGAGCTGGAGGGAGGTGGGGGAGGCCTGGAGGGGGTTAATTAACACTAATTAATTAATTAGAATCATTAATTAAGGAGGGAATTCATTAATTAGGGTCGTTAATTAAGGAATTAATTGCTCAGGAAGGAGCTCCAGCCCCTGGGAATGGACACTGGGGTTGATTCCCAGTCCTGGGATGGGGGACCTGGGGGTGTTAATTAAGGGTAAATAATTAATTAGAATCATTAATTAAGGAGGAAATTCATTAATTAGGGTTGCTAATTAAGGAGGAAATTAATTAATTAGGGTCATTAATTAAGGAGGGAATTGATTAATTAGGGCAATTAATTAAGGGAATAAGGAGCTGGACACCGGGATTGATTCCCAGTCCTGGGATGGGGGACCTGGGGGTGTTAATTAAGGGTTAATTAGAAGCATTAATTAATGAGAAAATTCATTAATTAGGGTCATTAATTAAGGAATTAATTGCTCTGGAAGGAACTCCAGTCCCTGGGAATGGACATCGGGATTGATTCCCAGTCCTGGGATGGGGGACCTGGGGGTGCTAATTAAGGGTAATTAATTAATTAGGGGTGTTAATTAAGGAGGAAATTCATTAATTAGGGTCATTAATTAAAGGAATTAATTGCTCAGGAAGGAGCTCCAACCCCTGGGAATGGACACTGGGATTGATTCCCAGTCCTGGGATGGGGGAACTGGGGCTGTTAATTAAGGGTAATTAATTAATTAGGGGTGTTAATTAATGAGAAAATTAATTAATTAGGGTCATAAATTAACAAGGAAATTCATTAATTAGGGATGTTAATTAAGGGAATAAGGAGCTCCAGCCCCTGGGAATGGACACTGGGATTGATTCCCAGTCCTGGGATGGGGGGGACCTGGGGGTGTTAATTAAGGGTAATTAATTAATTAGGGGTGTTAATTAAGGAGGAAATTCATTAATTAGGGTTGTAAATTAACAAGGAAATTCATTAATTAGGGGTGTTAATTAAGGGAATAAGGAGCTCCAACCCCTGGGAATGGACTGGGGGCTGTACTGGGAGAACTGGGGGTCCCTGGGGGGCTGTACTGGGAGCAACTGGGGGGCTGTACTGGGAGTAACTGGGAGCTGTAACTGGGATGTACTGGGAGTAACTGGGGGGCTGTACTGGGAGCAACTGGGGGGCTGTAACTGGGATGTACTGGGAGTAACTGGGGGCTCTACTGGGGGTCTGTACTGGGAGTAACTGGGGGGCTGTAAATGGGGACTGTAACTGGATGTACTGGGAGGAACTCGGCGCTGTAAATGGGAGCAACTGGGGGGCTGTACTGGGAGCAACTGGGGGGCTGTAAATGGGAGCTGTAACTGGATGTACTGGGAGGAACTCGGCGCTGTAAATGGGAGCAACTGGGGGGCTGTAACTGGGATGTACTGGGAGTAACTGGGGGCTGTAACTGGGCTGTACTGGGAGTAACTGGGGGCTGGAACTGGGGGGCTGGAACTGGTGCCTATAACTGGGGGTACTGGGAGTAACTGGGGGCCTGGAACTGGGATGTACTGGGGACTGTGAGTGGTGCCTATAACTGGATGTACTGGAAGCAACTGGGGGCTGTAACTGGGGTCTGTACTGGGAGCAACTGGGGGCTGTAACTGGGATGTACTGGGAGTAAATGGGAGGCTGGACTGGGAGTCTCTGGGGGGCTGTAACTGGGATGTACTGGGAGTAACTAGGGGTCTGTACTGGGAGCAACTGGGGGGCTGGAACTGGGAGCAACTGGAGGGCTGTAAATGGGGCTGTAACTGGGTGTACTGGGAGTAACCGGGGGGCTGTAAATGGGAGCAACTGGGGGGCTGTAACTGGGTGTACTGGGAGTAACTGGGGGTCTGTACATGGGAGCAACTGGGGGGCTGTAAATGGGAGCTGTAACTGGGATGTACTGGGAGGAACTGGGGGCTGTAACTGGGCTGTACTGGGAGAACTGGGGGTCGTACCTGGGTGGTCTCAGCGCGAGCTGCTCCCTGGCGGTGCCGAGCGGCCCCTTCTTACACCAGAGAGCAAAACCCCCCATTTCCCTGAGGGAAAAAACCCAAACCCCCAAATTCCCATTAAAAAAAAACTTGGGAAAGGGAGAAGGAACCACAGGAACCTCCCCCATTCCCTAAATCCCAACTTTCCGTACCCGATCTTGGTGTAGAGGGGAAGGATCCGGCCCTTGGAGCTGAGCTGGAGCTCCAGCACTGCCGGGGTCGCTCCCTCGGGATCCTCCAGCTTCACCAGCAGCCTCTTCCGGCGGGAAATGCCCGAGCCTGAGGGGAAAAATCGGGATAAAATCTATTCCTGATGGATTCCTGAGGGGAAAAATGGGATAAAGGCTATTCCTGATGGATTCCTGAGGGGGAAAATTGGGATAAGGCAGTGGGAAAGGCTCCTCTTCCGGCGGGAAATTCCTGAGCCTGAGGGGAAAAATTGGGATAAAACCTATTCCTGGTGGATTTCTGAGGGGGAAAATTGGGATAAAGGCTATTCCTGCTGGATTCCTGAGGGGGAAAATTGGGATAAGGCCTCTCAGCCAGCCTCTTTCGGCGGGAAATTCCTGAGCCTGAGGGGAAAAATTGGGATAAAGACTATTCTGGTAAGAAATTCCCGATCCTGAGGGGAAAAATTGGGATAAAGGCTATTCCTGATGGATTCCTGAGGGGGAAAATTGGGATAAGGCCTCTCAGGCAGCCTCTTCTGGCAGGAAATTCCTGAGCCTGAGGGGAAAAATTGGGATAAAGCCTATTCTGGTGGGAAATTCCTTATCCTGAGGGGAAAATTGGGATAAAGGCTATTCCTGATGGATTCCTGAGGGGGAAAATTGGGATAAAGGCTATTCTGGTAAGAAATTCCTGATCCTGAGGGGAAAATTGGGATAAAGGCTATTCCTGATGGATTCCTGAGGGGGAAAATTGGGATAAAGGCTATTCCTGATGGATTCCTGAGGGGGAAAATTGGGATAAGGCCAGTCGGAGTAAGGCTCCTCTTCCGGCGGGAAATTCCTGAGCCTGAGGGGAAAAATCGGGATAAAGACTCTTCCTGATGGATTCCTGAGGGGAAAAAATTGGGATAAAGGCTATTCTGGTAAGAAATTCATCCTGAGGGGGAAAATTGGGATAAAGGCTATTCCTGATGGATTCCTGAGGGGAAAAATTGGGATAAGGCAGTGGGAAGGCTCCTCTTCTGGGAAATTCCTGAGCCTGAGGGAAAAATTGGGATAAAGACTCTTACTGGTGGGAAATTCTGAGCCTGAGGGGAAAAATTGGGATAAAGGCTATTCCTGATGGATTCCTGAGGGGGAAAATTGGGATAAAGGCTATTCTGGTAAGAAATTCCTGATCCTGAGGGGAAAATTGGGATAAGGCAGCGGGAAAGGCTCCCAGGCAGCCTCTTCCGGTGGGAAATTCCTGAGCCTGAGGGGAAAATTGGGATAAAACCTATTCCTGATGGATTCCTGAGGGGAAATATCGGGATAAAGGCTATTCTGGTAGGAAATTCCCGATCCTGAGGGGAAAATTGGGATAAAGACTCTTACGGTGGGAAATTCCCAATCCTGAGGGGGAAAAAGCAGGATGAGCCTCTTCTGGGGGAAAATGCCCGAGCCTGAGGGGAAAAACTGGGATGAGCCTCTTCCTGATGGATTCCTGAGGGGAAAAATCCAGGATGAACCTCTTCCTGATGGATTCCTGAGGGGAAAATTGGGATAAAGACTCTTCTGGTGGAAATTCCTGAGCCTGAGGGGAAAAAGTGGGATAAAGGCTATTCCTGATGGATTCCTGAGGGGAAAAATTGGGATAAGGCTCCCAGGCAGCCTCTTCCGGCGGAAATTCCTGAGCCTGAGGGGGAAAAACGGGATAAAGGCTATTCCTGATGGATTCCTGAGGGGGAAAATTGGGATAAAGGCTATTCCTGATGGATTCCTGAGGGGGAAAAAGCGGGAAAGGCTCCCAGGCAGCCTCTTCTGGCGGGAAATTCCTGAGCCTGAGGGGAAAAAGTGGGATAAAGGCTATTCCTGATGGATTCCTGAGGGGAAAAAGTGGAAAGGCTACAAGGCAGCCTCTTCTGGTGGGAAATTCCTGAGCCTGAGGGGAAAAGTTGGGATAAAGGCTATTCCTGATGGATTCCTGAGGGGAAAAATCGGGATAAAGGCTATTCTGGTAGGAAATTCCTGATCCTGAGGGGAAAAATTGGGATAAGGCAGTGGGAAAGGCTCCTCTTCTGGCGGGAAACGCCCGAGCCTGAGGGGAAAAATTGGGATAAAGACTCTTCTGGTAAGAAATTCCCGATCCTGAGGGGAAAAATTGGGATAAAGGCTATTCTGGTAGGAAATTCCCGATCCTGAGGGGAAAAATTGGGATAAAGGCTATTCCTGATGGATTCCTGAGGGGGAAAATTGGGATAAGGCCTCTCAGTCAGCCTCTTCCGGCGGGAAATTCCCGAGCCTGAGGGGAAAAATCGGGATAAAGACTCTTCCGGTAGGAAATTCCTGATCCTGAGGGGAAAAATTGGGATAAAGGCTATTCCTGATGGATTCCTGAGGGGAAAAATTGGGATAAAGGCTATTCCTGATGGATTCCTGAGGGGAAAATTGGGATAAAGGCTATTCTGGTAAGAAATTCCCGATCCTGAGGGGAAAAATTGGGATAAAGGCTATTCCTGATGGATTCCTGAGGGGGAAAATTGGGATAAAGGCTATTCGGTAAGAAATTCCTGATCCTGAGGGGAAAAATTGGGATAAAGGCTATTCCTGCTGGATTCCTGAGGGGAAAAAGGCGGGAAAGGCTCCCAGGCAGCCTCTTCTGGCGGGAAATTCCTGAGCCTGAGGGGAAAAATTGGGATAAAGGCTATTCCTGATGGATTCCTGAGGGGGAAAATCCGGATAAAGGCTATTCTGGTAAGAAATTCCTGTTCCTGAGGGGAAAAATTGGGATGAGCCTCTTCCTGATGGATTCCTGAGGGGGAAAATTGGGATAAAGACTCTTCCTGATGGATTCCTGAGGGGAAAAATTGGGATAAGGCTATTCTGGTGGGAAATTCCTGATCCTGAGGGGGAAAATTGGGATAAAGCCAATTTCCCGCCTCTTCCGGCGGGAAATTCCTGAGCCTGAGGGGAAAAAACGGGATAAAACCTATTCCTGATGGATTCCTGAGGGGGAAAATTGGGATAAAGGCTATTCTGGTAAGAAATTCCTGAGCCTGAGGGGGAAAAATGGGATAAAGGCTATTCCTGATGGATTCCTGAGGGGGAAAATTGGGATAAGGCAGTGGGAAAGGCTCCCAGGTGGTCTCTTCCGGGAAAGCATGACCTGAGGAAAAGTTGGGATGAGACTCTTCCTGATGGATTCCTGAGGGAAAAATTGGGATAAAGGCTATTCTGGTAAGAAATTCCCGTTCCTGAGGGGAAAAATGGGATAAAATCTGTTCCTGATGGATTCCTGAGGAGAATTATCGGGATAAAGGCTATTCCTGATGGATTCCTGAGGGGGAAAATTGGGATAAGGCAGTGGGAAAGGCTCCTCTTCCGGCGGGAAATTCCCAAGCCTGAGGGGAAAAGTTGGGATAAAGACTCTTCCTGATGGATTCCTGAGGGGAAAAATTGGGATAAAGGCTATTCCTGATGGATTCCTGAGGGGGAAAAGCAGGATAAAGCCTCTTCCGGCGGGAAATGCCCGAGCCTGAGAGGAAAAAGTGGGATAAAGACTCTTACGGTGGGATTTCTGAGGGGGAAAATTGGGATAAAGGCTATTCTGGTAAGAAATTCCCGATCCTGAGGGAAAAATTGGGATAAGGCAGTGGGAAAGGCTCCTCTTCCGGCGGGAAATTCCTGAGCCTGAGGGGAAAAATTGGGATAAAAGCTATTCCTGATGGATTCCTGAGGGGGGAAATTGGGATAAAGGCTATTCTGGTGGGAAATTCCCGATCCTGAGGGGAAAAATCAGGATAAAGCCTATTCCTGATGGATTCCTGAGGGGAAAAATTGGGATAAAGGCTATTCTGGTGGGAAATTCCCGATCCTGAGGGGGAAAATTGGGATAAAGCCTCTTACAGTAGGAAATTCCTGATCCTGAGGGGGAAAATTGGGATAAAGGCTATTCTGGTGGGATTTCTGAGGGGAAAAATTGGGATAAAGGCTATTCCGGTGGGATTTCTGAGAGGGAAAATTGGGATAAAGGCTATTCCTGATGGATTCCTGAGGGGGAAAATTGGGATAAAGGCTATTCTGGTGGAGAATTCCTGATCTGAGGGGAAAAATTGGGATAAAGGCTATTCCTGATGGATTCCTGAGGGAAAAAAATTGGGATAAAGGCTATTCTGGTAAGAAATTCCTGATCCTGAGGGGGAAAATTGGGATAAAGGCTATTCCGGTGGGATTTCTGAGGGGGAAAATTGGGATGAGCCTCTTCCTGATGGATTCCTGAGGGGAAAAATTGGGATGAGCCTCTTCCAGTGGGATTCCTGAGGGGAAAAATTGGGATGAGCCTCTTCCTGCTGGATTCCTGAGGGGGAAAATTGGGATAAGCCTCTTCCTCTGGGATTTCTGAGGGGAAAAAACCAGGTTAAGGCAGTGGGAAAGCTTTTCCTTCAGGAAATGCCTATTCCTGAGGGGGAAAATTGGGATAAGGCAGTGGGAAAGCCTCCCTCAGGTGGGAAGGAGGGAGGGAAGGGAGGCACTTACGGGGTTCTGGGAATTCGGGCGCGGGTGTAGCCGGGGGGGTGAGGGGTCCGCTCGCTCTGCACCAGCACGTCCGTCACAACCGGGAATGGAGGGGACTGGGAGGGGAAATGATGGGAAAAACAGGGATGGGAATGGGGATGGGAATGGGGATGGGGATGGGAATGGGATGGGAATGGGAATGGGGATGGGAATGGGATGGGAATGGGAATGGGAATGGGGATGGGAATGGGAATGGGGATGGGGGGATGAGGGGTCCGCTCGCTCAGCACCAGCACGTCCGTCACAACCGGGAATGGAGGGAGCTGGGAAAAACAGGGATACAGGGATGGGAATGGGGATGGGAATGGGGATGGGAATGGGGATGGGGATGGGGATGGGAATGGGGATGGGGATGGGGGATGGGAATGGGGATGGGGAATGGGGATGGGATGGGAATGGGAATGGGGATGAGGGATGGGAATGGGAATGGGGATGGGGATGGGAATGGGAATGGGGATGGGGATGGGAATGGGGATGGGAATGGGGATGGGGATGGGAATGGGATGGGAATGGGGATGGGAATGGGGATGGGAATGGGAGTGGGAATGACAGGGAATGGGATGGGAATGGGGATGGGGATGGGGATGTGGGGACCAGGAATGGGGATGGGAATGGGAATGGGGATGGGATGGGAATGGGAATGGGGATGGGAATGGGGATGGGGAATGGGGATGGGAAACAGGGATGGGAATGGGGATGGGGAATGGGAGTGGGAAGGGGGATGGGAATGGGGATGGGAATGGGAATGGGGTTGGGATGGGAATGGGGATGGGAATGGGGATGGGGAATGGGGGATGGGAATGGGAAATGGGAATGGGGATGGGGATGGGGATGGGGAATGGGAATGGGGATGGGAATGGGGATGGAATAGGAATGGGGATGGGATGGAATGGGATGGGGATGGGAATGGGAATGGGGATGGGAATGGGGATGGGGATCGGGAATGGGAATGGGGATGGGAATGGGGAAGCTGGGAATGGGGATGGGAATGGGGATGGGGAATGGGGATGGGAATGGGGATGGGAATGGGAATGGGGATGGGAATGGGAATGGGGATGGGAATGGGAATGGGGATGGGAATGGGGATGGGAATGGGGATGGAATGGGGATGGGAATGGCAATGGGGATGGGAATGGGGATGGGATGGGAATGGGATGGGAATGGGATGGGAATGGGGATGGGAATGGGGATGGGAATGGGATGGGAATGGGGATGGGAATGGGGATGGGGATGGGAATGGGGATGGGAATGGGATGGGAATGGGGATGGGGATGGGGATGGGAATGGGAATGGGAATGGGGATGGGAAAGGGAGGAGGGGAATGGGGATGGGGAATGGGATGGGAATGGGATGGGAATGGGGATGGGAATGGGAATGGGGATGAGGGGACCAGGAATAGGGATGGGAATGGGGATGGGAATGGGGATGTGGGACCGGGAATGGGGATGGGCACTGGGAAAAGGGGTGGGAACTGGGATGGGAACTGGGAACTGGGATGGGAACTGGGAACTGGGATGAGCACCGGGAACTGGGATGGGCACCGGGAACTGGGATGGGCACCGGGAACTGGGATGGGCACTGGGAACTGGGATGGGAACTGGGAACTGGGATGGGAACTGGGAAGGGGGTACCAGGGACTGGGATGGGCACTGGGAACTGGGATGGGCACTGGGATGGGAACTGGGAACTGGGATGGGCACCGGGAACTGGGATGGGAACCAGGAACTGGGATGGGCACTGGGAACTGGGATGGGCACTGGGATGGGCATCGGGAACTGGGATGGGCACTGGGAACTGGGATGGGAACTGGGATGGGCACTGGGAACTGGGATGGGAAGCGGGAATGGGGTTCCAGGAACTGGGAACTGGGATGGGAACTGGGAACTGGGATGGGCACTGGGAACTGGGATGGGAACTGGGAACTGGGATGGGAACTGGGATGGGAACCGGGAACTGGGATGGGAACCGGGAACAGGGATGGGAACTGGGAACTGGGATGGGCACTGGGAACTGGGATGGGCACTGGGAACTGGGAACTGGGATGGGAACTGGGAACTGGGATGGGAACTGGGAAGGAGGCATCGGGAACTGGGATGGGCACTGGGAACTGGGAAGGGGGCACCGGGAACTGGGATGGGCACTGGGAACTGGGATGGGAACTGGGAACTGGGATGGGAACTGGGATGGGAACTGGGATGGGCACTGGGAACTGGGATGGGAACTGGGAACTGGGATGGGCATCGGGAACTGGGATGGGCACTGGGAACTGGGATGGGAACCGGGAACTGGGATGGGCACCGGGAACTGGGATGGGAACTGGGAACTGGGATGGGAACTGGGATGGGAACTGGGAACTGGGATGGGAACTGGGAACTGGGATGGGCACCGGGAACTGGGATGGGAACTGGGAACTGGGATGGGAACTGGGATGGGAACTGGGAACTGGGATGAGCACCGGGAACTGGGATGGGAACTGGGAACTGGGATGGGAACTGGGAACTGGGATGGGAACCGGGAACTGGGATGGGAACTGGGAACTGGGATGGGAACCGGGAACTGGGATGGGCACCGGGAACTGGGATGGGAACTGGGAACTGGGATGGGAACTGGGAACTGGGATGGGCTCTGGGAACTGGGATGGGAACTGGGAACTGGGATGGGAACTGGGAACTGGGATGGGCACTGGGACTGGGATGGGAACTGGGATGGGCACTGGGAACTGGGATTGGGAACTGGGGAACTGGGACTGGGAATCGGGAACTGGGATGGGCACTGGGAACTGGGATGGGAACTGGGAACTGGGATGGGAACTGGGAACTGGGATGGGAACTGGGATGGGAACTGGGAACTGGGATGGGCACCGGGAACTGGGATGGGCACTGGGAACTGGGATGGGAACTGGGAACTGGGATGGGAACTGGGAACTGGGATGGGCACTGGGAATTGGGATGGGAACTGGGATGGGAACTGGGAACTGGGAACTGGGATGGGCACTGGGAACTGGGATGGGAACTGGGATGGGCACTGGGGACTGGGATGAGAACTGGGAATTGGGATGGGAACCGGGAAGGGGGTACCGGGAACTGGGATGGGAACTGGGATGGGAACCAGGAACTGGGATGGGCACTGGGATGGGCACTGGGAACTGGGATGGGAACCAGGAACTGGGATGGGAACTGGGAACTGGGTTGGATACCGGGAACTGGGATGGGAACCGGGAACTGGGATGGGCACTGGGAAGGGGGTACCGGGGACTGGGATGGGCACCGGGGAATGGGATGGGAACCGGGAACTGGGATGGGAACTGGGATGGGCACCGGGAACTGGGATGGGAACTGGGAACTGGGACGGGAACCGGGAACAGGGATGGGAACTGGGATGGGAACTGGGAACTGGGATGGGAACTGGAAACTGGGATGGGAACTGGGATGGGAACTGGGATGGGAACTGGGAACTGGGATGGGAACTGGGAACTGGGATGGGAACCGGGAACTGGGATGGGAACTGGGAACTGGGATGGGAACTGGGAACTGGGATGGGAACTGGGATGGGCACTGGGAACTGGGATGGGAACTGGGAACTGGGATGGGAACTGGGAACTGGGATGGGAACTGGGGAACGGTGCCTCCCGTTACCTGCCCCGCCGCGGGTCGCACGCACAGGTACCACCCTCCTCCGCGGTGCCCGAAGCCTTTGCCCACCGCGGCGGGCGCGCCCTCCGCCGTCACCGTGATCTGCGGGCACGGCGGGCGTCACCGACACCGGCACCGGGACCGGGACGGGCGCCGTGCCCTTCCCTTTTCCCCTCCCCGCCCCCGTACCGCGGTCCAGCCCGGCGGGACGGCCTCGGGCCCGGCCGCCCAGCCCACCCCGGTGAGCGGGGACGGAGCCGCCGCCGCCGCCATCGCGGCCCGTCCGCACCGGAGCAATGAGGTCCCGCCCACCCAACACCGGCGCGCTGCGATTGGCTGAGAGCAAAGAGCAGCCCCGCTGATTGGGCGAGGGATATGATTGACAGGCGAGCTGTCCAATAGGAGAGAAAGCCGCAAACGCGGAAGCGCGGGAATCCAAAGCACCGGAGGGGCCAGCGGGGTCCCCCCAATTTTATTAAAGGCAGCACCGACAGCGCGATCACCGCGGTCCCTCATCCTGCCGCGGGGGTGGGGGACGAACCTGCCCCGGTGAGCGGGGACGGAGCCGCCGCCGCCGCCATCGCGGCCCGTCCGCACCGGAGCAATGAGGTCCCGCCCACCCAAACCGGCGCGCTGTGATTGGCTGAGAGCAAAGATCTGCCCCGCTGATTGGGCGAGGGATATGATTGACAGACCCTTTGCCCAATAGGAGAGCAAGCCGCAAACGCGGAAGCGCGGGAATCCAAAGCACCGGAGGGGCCAGCGGGGTCCCCCCAGTTTATTAAAGGCAGCACCGACAGCGCGAACACCGCGGTCCCTCATCCTGCCGGTGGGGAGGGGGATGAGCCTGCCCCGGTGAGCGGGGACGGAGCCGCCGCCGCCGCCATCGCGGCCCGTCCGCACCGGAGCAAGGAGGTCCCGCCCACCCAACACCGGCGAGCTGCGATTGGCTAAGAGCAAATACCGGTGCCGGTGATTGGGCGAGGGATATGATTGACAGACCGATTGCCCAATAGGAGGAGAGCAAGCCGCAAACGCGGAAGCGCGGGAATCCAAAGCACCGGAGGGGCCAGCGGGGTCCCCCCAAGTTTATTAAAGGCAGCACCGACAGCGCGAACACCGCGGCCCTTCATCCTGCCGGTGGGGAGGGGGACGAACCCGCCCCGGTGAGCGGAGACGGAGCCGCCGCCGCCGCCATCGCGGCCCGTCCGCACCGGAGCAATGAGGTCCCGCCCATCCAACACCGGCGCGCTGCGATTGGTTCAGAGAGATGAGCCTTTCCGGTGATTGGGTGAGGAGAGTGATTGACAGGCGAGCTGTCCAATAGGAGAGAAAGCCGCAAACGCGGAAGCGCGGGAATCCAAAGCACCGGAGGGGCCAGCGGGGTCCCCCCAAGTTTATTAAAGGCAGCACCGACAGCGCGAACACCGAGGTCCCTCATCCTGCCGGTGGGGCGGGGGATGACCCGGCCCGGTGAGCGGGGACGGAGCCGCCGCCATCGCGGCCCGTCCGCACCGGAGCAATGAAGTCCCACCCACCCAACACCGGCGCGCTGCGATTGGCTGAGAGTAAAGAGCTGACCCGCTGATTGGGCGAGGGATATGATTGACAGACCGTTTGCCCAATAGGAGGAGAGCAAGCCGCAAACGCGGAAGCGCGGGAATCCAAAGCACCGGAGGGGCCAGCGGGGTCCCCCCAAGTTTATTAAAGGCAGCACCGACAGCGCGAACACCGCGGCCCTTCATCCTGCCGGTGGGGAGGGGGACGAACCCGCCCCGGTGAGCGGAGACGGAGCCGCCGCCGCCGCCATCGCGGCCCGTCCGCACCGGAGCCACGGGGACACGCCCACCCAACACCGGCGCGCTGCGATTGGCTGAGAGCGATGAATGACACGCGAACGCCTCCGGCGATTGGCTGAGGGAGTTGAGTGACGTGCGCAGCGGCCAATAAGGAGCGAGCAGCCCCCAAAAGGCGGAAGCCCCGAATGCCGGCGGAGCTTTCGGGGTTCCCAAATTTCTCACCGGGCCCCTCATCCCAATCCCGAACCTTTTCCCGGCCCATCCCAGTCCCAATCCCTGCTCCCAATCCCACCCCTGCCCACGGCAGCGTCACCCTGTGCCACCCCCCACCGCCCCCCTCTCTGACCCCCACAGGACGACCGGCACCTTGTTCGGTTTAATTAATTAATTAATTAATTAATTAATCGTATTAATACGAATGAATTCATAAAATTTACAGCCGGCTTGGGTTTAAATAAGAAGAATAATAATTAAAAAAGAAAATAAAATCAACCCAAAAGAAAATGAACATTTACAGCAGTCGCTGCCCCTCCCCCTCCCCCAAATTTGGGATGGGATGAGGGGGGGGGAGGGGAATTTGGGCCAGTGCAACAGTGCAAGGTGGGGGAGGGGCAATGGGGGTCCCACCCCACCCCCCCGTGTCACCCACACCCCTCCCAGGGGTTGTGACAGGAGGGTCCCCGGAAAGTGCCAGAAGGGGAGTTTTGGGGGTTTTTGGGTTTTGGGGGGAGGGAGGAGGTAGAGCCGTGAGGTCCTTCAGAAACCGTCGAGGTCCGCAGGGGGTCAGGGGGTCCCGGCTGCGCTCAGGCGGTGCCGAAGGGTCCTCTCCTCCTCCTGGGGACACGGAGGGACACGTTAGGGGACACGGGGAGGAGGGGCAGGGGGACCCCAGGTGACAGGGACACGTTGGGGACACGTTGGGGACACGGTAATGGGGAGGGGACCCCGAGGTGACAGGGACACGTTGGGGACACATGGGGGACACGTTGGGGACACGGCAAATGGGGAGGGGAGGGCAGGGGAGGACCCCAAGGTGACAGGGACACAGGAGGGACACGTTGGGGACACGGCAAATGGGGGGAGAGGGGGACAGGAGGACCCCAGGTGACAGAGGACACGTTGGGGACACGTTGGGGACACAGTAAATGGGGGGAGGGGAGGGCAGGGGGACCCCAAGGTGACAGGGACATGGGGGGACACGTTGGGGACACGGGAGGGGACACACCTGGGGGTCCCTGAGACCACAGGGACATGGGGACACATTTGGGACACGTTGGGGACACGGTAATGGGGGAGGGGACCCCAGGTGACAGGGACACACTGGGGACACGTTGGGGACACAGTAATGGGGAGGAGGGAGCAGGGGACCCGAGGTGACAGGAACATGGGGGGGACACACTGGGGACACGTTGGGGACACGTTGGGGACACGGCAAATGGGGGGAGCAGGGGACCCCGAGGTGACAGGGACATGGAGGGACACGTTGGGGACACGGTAATGGGGGAGGGGACCCCGAGGTGACAGGGACACGGGGGACACGTTGGGGACACCGGGAGGGACACACAGCAAATGGGGGGACAGGAGGGCAGGGGACCCCAGGTGACAGAGGACATGGGGGGACACGCTGGGGACACAGGTAAATGGGGGGAGGGGCAAGGTGACCCCCAGGTGACAGGGACACACTGGGGACACGTTGGGGACATAGTAAATGGGGGGGAGGGAGGGCAAGGTGACCCCAGGTGACAGGGACACACTGGGGACACGTTGGGGACACAGTAAATGGGGAGGGGAGGGCAAGGTGACCCCCAGGTGACAGGGACACGCTGGGGACACGTTGGGGACACGGCAAATGGGGGGAGGGGAGGGCAGGGGGACCCCAATGTGACAGGGACACACTGGGGACACGTTGGGGACACGTTGGGGACACGGGGAGGGGACACACCTGGGGGTCCCTGAGACCACAGGGACATGGGGGACACACTGGGGACACATTGGGGACACGTTGGGGACACGGCAAATGGCGGGAGAGGGGCAAGAGTGACCCCAGGTGACAGGGACACGTTGGGGACACGTTGGGGACATGGAGAGGGGACACACCTGGGGGTCCCTGAGACCACAGGGACGTGGGGGACACACTGGGGACACACTGGGGACATGTTGGGGACCACGGCAAATGGGGGAGAGGGGGCAGGGGACCCCAGGTGACAGGGACACACTGGGGACATGGGGGGACACAGCAAATGGGGGGAGGGAGGGCAGGGGGACCCCCAGGTGACAGGGACACGTTGGGGACACGTTGGGGACACGGTAAATGGGGGAGGCAGGGGAGGCAGAGGGACCCCGAGGTGACAGGGACACGTTGGGGACACATAGGGGACACGTTGGGGACACGGCAAATGGGGAGGGAGGGCAGGGGAGGACCCCAAGGTGACAGGGACACAGGAGGGACACGTTGGGGACACGGCAAATGGGGGGAGGGGGACAAGGTGACCCCAGGTGACAGGGACATGGAGGGGACACGTTGGGGACACGGGGAGGGGACACATCTGGGGGTCCCTGAGACCACAGGGACATGGGGGACACATGGGGACACGTTGGGGACACGTTGGGGACACATTGGGGACACGGCAAATGGGGAGGGGAGGGCAGGAGGACCCCAAGGTGACAGGGACACAGGGGGGACACGGCAAATGGGGGGAGGGGACCCCGAGGTGACAGGGACACACTAGGGACACGTTGGGGACACGGCAAATGGGAGGGGACCCCAAGGTGACAGGGACACACTGGGGACACGTTGGGGACACGGTAAATGGGGGGGAGGGGAGGGCAGGGGGACCCCGAGGTGACAGGGACACGTTGGGGACGCGTTGGGGACACGTTGGGGACACACCTGGGGGTCCCTGAGACCACAGGGACGTGGGGGACACATTGGGGACACCCTTGGGACCCCCAAAACCGAGGACACCACATTTTGGGGGGTCCCAAGGTCAGGACACCCTTGGGACCCCCAACCCCCAGTCTGGGGGGTCCCCATGACCACACACCCCCTACCCGGGCTCAGGACACCCTTGGGACCCCAAAACCAAGGACACCCCAATTTGGGGGGGTCTCCATGATCCCATCCACCATGTGAGGGCTCAGGACCCCCAAACCCAGGGACACCCCAATTTGGAGGGGTCTCCATGACCACAAACCCCCCTACCCGGGCTCAGGACCCCCAAAACCGAGGACACCCCAGTTTGGGGAGGTCTCCTTGACCACAAACCCCCCCTACTCAGGCTCAGGACACCCTTGGGACCCCCAAACCCAGGGACACCCCAATTTGGGGGGGTCTCCATCACCACACACCCCCCCACCCGGGCTCAGGACACCCTTGGGACCCCCAAACCCAGGGACACCCCAATTTGGGGGGGTCTCCATCACCACACACCCCCCCACCCGGGCTCAGGACACCCTTGGGACCCCCAAACCCAGGGACACCCCAATTTGAGGGGGTCTCCATGACCCCAAACCCCCCTACCCCGGGCTCAGGACCCCCAAAACTGAGGACACCCCAATTTGGGGGGCTCTCCATGATCCCATCCCCCATGTGTGGGCTCAGGACCCCCAAACCCAGGGACACCCCAGTTTGGGGGGGTCTCCATGACCACAAACCCCCCCACCCAGGCTCAGGACACCCTTGGGACCCCCAACCCCCAGTCTGGGGGGTCTCCATCACCACACACCCCCATACCCGGGCTCAGGACACCCTTGGGACCCCCAAACCCAGGGACACCCCAATTTGGAGGGGTCTCCATGACCACACACCCCCCCACCCGGGCTCAGGACACCCTTGGGACCCCCAAACCCAGGGACACCCCAATTTGGGGGGGTCTCCATGACCACAAATGCCCCTACCCAAGGTCAGGACACCCTTGGGACCCCAAAACCAAGGACACCCCGATTTGGGGAGGTCTCCATGACCACAAACCCCCCCACCCGGGCTCAGGACACCCTTGGGACCCCCAAACCCAGGGACACCCCAATTTGGGGAGGTCTCCATGATCCCATCCCCATGTGTGGTCTCAGGACCCCCAAACCCAGGGACACCCCAATTTGGGGGGGGTCTCCATGACCCCAAACCCCCCTACCCGGGCTCAGGACCCCCAAAACTGAGGACACCCCAATTTGGGGGGCTCTCCATGATCCCATCCCCATGTGTGGGCTCAGGACCCCCAAACCCAGGGACACCCCAATCTGGGAGGGTCTCCCTGACCACAAATCCCCCTACCCAGGCTCAGGACCCCCAAACCCAGGGACACCCCAATTTGGAGGGGTCTCCCTGACCACAAACCCCCCTACCCAGGCTCAGGACCCCCAAACCCAGGGACACCCCAATTAGGGGGGGGTCTCCATGACCACAAACCCCCCCACCCGGGCTCAGGACCCCCAAAACTGAGGACACCCCAATTTGGAGGGGTCTCCATGACCACAAAACCCCCTACCCGGGCTCAGGACCCCCAAACCCAGGGACACCCCAATTAGGGGGGGGTCTCCATGACCACAAACCCCCCTACCCGGGCTCAGGACCCCCAAAACCAAGGACACCCCAATTTGGGGAATCTCCATGATCCCATTCCCCATGTGTGGGCTCAGGACCCCCAAACCCAGGGACACCCCAATATGGAGGGGTCTCCCTGACCACAAATCCCCCTACCCAGGCTCAGGACCCCCAAACCCAGGGACACCCCAATTAGGAGGGGTCTCCATGACCACAAACCCCCCTACCCAGGCTCAGGACCCCCTTGGGACCCCCAATGCTCAGTCTGGGGGGGTCTCCATCACCACACACCCCCATACCCGGGCTTAGGACACCCTTGGGACCCCCATACCCAGGGACACCCCAGTTTGGGGGGGTCTCCATGATCCCATCCCCCATGTGTGGGCTCAGGACCCCCAAACCAAGGACGCCCCAATTTGGGGGGGTCTCCATGACCACAAACCCCCCTACCCGGGCTCAGGACACCCTTGGGACCCCAACCCCCAGTCTGGGGGGGTCTCCATCACCACACCCCCCACCCAGGCTCAGGACACCCTTGGGACCTCCAACCCCCAGTCTGGGGGGTCTCCATCACCACACACCCCCATACCCGGGCTCAGGACACCCTTGGGACCCCCAACCCCAGGGACACCCCAATTTGGGGTGTCCACAAATGACTCCATGACCACAAACGCCCCTACCCTGGGTCAGGACCCCCAAAACCAAGGACACCCCTATTTGGGAGGGTCTCCATGACCACAAACCCCCCCACCTGGGCTCAGGACACCCTTGGGACCCCCAACCCCAGTGACACCCCAATTTGGGAGGTCTCCATGATCCCATCCCCCATGTGTGGGCTCAGGACCCCCAAACCCAGGGACACCCCAATTTGGGGGGTTTCCATAACCACAAACCCCCCTACCCAGGCTCAGGACACCCTTGGGACCCCCCAAACCCACGGATGCCCCTATTTGGGGGGTCTCCATGATCCCATCCCCTATGTGTGGGCTCAGGACACCCTTGGGACCCCCAAACCCAGGGACACCCCAATTTGGGGGGGGTCTCCATGACCCCAAACCCCCTACCCCGGGCTCAGGACCCCCAAAACTGAGGACACCCCAATTTGGGGGGCTCTCCATGATCCCATTCCCCATGTGTGGGCTCAGGACCCCCAAACCCAGGGACACCCGGGCCCAGGACCCCAAAACTGAGGACACCCCAATTGGGGGCTCTCCATGATCCATTCCCCATGTGGTCAGGACCCCCAAACCCAGGACACCCCATTTGGGGGTCTCATGACCACAAATCCCCTGCCAGGCTCAGGACCCCCAAACCCAGGGACACCCCAATTAGGGGGTCTCCCTGACCACAAACTCCCTACTCCTGGGTCAGGACCCCCCAAACCCAGGGACACCCCAATCTGGGTGGGTCTCCATGACCACAAACCCCCTACTTGGGCTCAAGACCCCCAAAACCGAGGACACCCCGATTTGGGGTGGTCTCCCTGACCACAAACCCCCCCACCCAGGCTCAGGACACCCTTGGGACCCCCAAAACCAAGGACACCCCAATTTGGAGGGGTCTCCATGACCACAAACCCCCCTACCCGGGCTCAGGACCCCCTTGGGACCCCCAACCCCCAGTCTGGGGGGGTCTCCATCACCACACACCCCCATACCCGGGCTCAGGACACCCTTGGGACCCCAAACCCAGGGACACCCCAATTTGGGGGGGTCTCCATGACCACAAACCCCCCTACCCAGGCTCAGGACACCCTTGGGACCCCCCAAACCCACGGATGCCCCTATTTGGGGGGTCTCCATGATCCCATCCCCTATGTGTGGGCTCAGGACACCCTTGGGAACCCCAAACCCAGGGACACCCCAATTTGGGGGGGGTCTCCATGACCCCAAACCCCCCTACCCCGGGCTCAGGACCCCCAAAACTGAGGACACCCCAATTTGGGGGGCTCTCCATGATCCCATTCCCCATGTGTGGGCTCAGGACCCCCAAACCCAGGGACACCCCAATTAGGGGGGGGTCTCCCTGACCACAAACCCCCCTACCCTGGGTCAGGACCCCCAAAACTGAGGACACACCAATTAGGGGGGGGTCTCCCTGACCACAAACCCCCCTACCTGGGCTCAGGACACCCTTGGGACCCCCAAACCCCAAGGACACCCCAATTTGGAGGGGTCTCCATGACCACACACCCCCCTACCCAGGCTCAGGACACCCTGGGACCCCAAAACTGAGGACACCCCAATTTGGGGAGGTCTCCATGACCACAAACCCCCCTACCCTGGGTCAGGACCCCCAAAACCGAGGACACCCCAGTCTGGGGGGTCTCCATCACCACACCCCCCCATACCCGGGCTCAGGACACCCTTGGGACCCCCAACCCCAGGGACACCCCAATTTGGGAGGTCTCCATGATCCCATTCCCCATGTGTGAGCTCAGGGCCCCCAAACCCAGGGACGCCCCAATTTGGGGGGGTCTCCATGACCACAAACCCCCCCACCCGGGCTCAGGACACCCTTGGGACCCCAAAACCAAGGACACTCCAATTTGGGGGGGTCTCCCTGACCACACACCCCCCCACCCAGGCTCAGGACACCCTTGGGACCCCAAACCCCCAGTCTGGGGGGGTCTCCATCACCACACCCCCCACCCAGGCTCAGGACCCCCTTGGGACCCCAAACCCCCAGTCTGGGGGGGTCTCCATCACCACACGCCCCCATACCCGGGCTCAGGACCCCCTTGGGACCCCCAACCCTCACTCTGGGGGTGTCCCTGAGGTCACTCACAGCCTCCAGGGCGCCGTTCCCGGCCCACTCCGAGGCGGCGAACGCGTCCTCCTCGCCCCGGCCCGACTCGGGCCCCTCGTCCTCCGTCAGGTAATCAGACTCCTCTGGGGGAGGGGGCAAAAAAAGGGGGTGCAGGGTGAGCCCCCAGCCCCAAATCTGCCCCCCCAGACCCTCCCCAACCCCTCTCACCGTCGCCGTAGCCGTCGGACAGGCAGGGCTTGGCCGGCTCGATGCGAGACACGATCTCGGCCAGGTCGGTGAAGCCGGCGCTGGGACAGGTGAGAACCTGCCAGGGAGGGAGGAAAAAGCACCCCCAGGGTGAGGAAAATCCCCTAGGGATGAGGAAAACCCTTCCTAGGGGTGAGGAAAACCCCCAGGGAGGAGGAAAAACCCCCTCAGGGAGGAGGAAAATCCCCCAGGGAGGAGGAAAACCCTTCCTAGGGGTGAGGAAAACCCCCTAGGGAGGAGGAAAATCCCTCCTAGGGATGAGGAAAACCCCTAGGGATGAGGAATCTCCCCAGGGATGAGGAAAACCCCTCAGGGATGAGGAAAACCCTTCCTAGGGGTGAGGAAAACCCCCAGGGATGAGGAAAATCCCTCCTAGGGATGAGGAAAAAACCCCTAGGGATGAGGAAAATCCCCCAGGGAGGAGGAAAAACCACCCAGGGTGAGGAAAATCCACCAGGGAGGAGGAAAAACCCCCAGGGATGAGGAAAACCCTTCCTAGGGGTGAGGAAAACCCCCTCAGGGATGAGGAAAACACCCCTAGGGATGAGGAAAATCCCTCCTAGGGATGGGGAAAAACCCCCAGGGATGAGGAAACCCCCTCAGGGATGAGGAAAATCCCTCCCAGGGTGAGGAAAACCCCCTTAGGGATGAGGAAACCAACCCAGGGATGAGGAAAAACCTCCCCAGGGATGAGGAAAACCCCTCTAGGGATGAGGAAAAACCCCCCAGGGATGAGGAAACCACCCCGGGGAAGGAAAAAAAACCCCACAAGGATGAGGAAAACCCCTCAGGGATGAGGAAAATCCCTCCTAGGGATGGGGAATCCCCAACAGGGATGAGGAAAACCCCCCAGGGATAAGGAAAATCCCTCCTAGGGATGAGGAAAACCCCACCAGGGATGAGGAACCCCCCAGGGATGAGGAAAATCCCTCCTAGGGATGAGGAAAATCCCTCCTAGGGATGAGGAAAACCCCACCAGGGATGAGGAAAACCCCACCAGGGATGAGGAACCCCCCAGGGATGAGGAAAATCCCTCCTAGGGATGGGGAATCCCCAACAGGTCAGAGTGTCCCCCACCCCCAGAGTGTCCCCCACCCCCAGGAGTCCCCCCACCCCCAGAGTGTCCCCTCCACCCTCAGAGTGTCCCCTCCACCCTCAGAGTGTCCCCCACCCCCAGGGAGTCCCCCCACCCCCAGGAGTCCCCCACCCTCAGGGAGTCCCCCACCCCCAGGTGTCCCCCCTCACATCCATGCGCTTGCTCTCGTAGAAGTCGGCCGAGCGCCGGTCCCGGACCATCTTGTCGATGACGTCCCCCTGGCGCCAGGCCTCGAACACCACCTTGCCGTGCTGGTACCCCACGTCCTGCGGGCACAGCCGCCCGTCCGTGGCCACGGAACACCCCGGGCACAGGGGCTGGGGCACTGCCAGGGGGGGGCTGGACACCCCAGGGATGGGTGGGACACCCCCAGGGATGGTGGGACACCCCAAATGATGGGTGAGATATCCCAGTGATGGGTGGGACACCCCAGTGATGGTGGGACATCCCAAAGGATGGGTGGGATATCCCAAAGGATGGGTGGGATATCCCAAAGGATGGGTGGGATATCCCAAAGGATGGCCAAGGATACCCCAGTGATGGGTGGGACATGCCAAAGGATGGGTGGGACGCTCCACTGATGGCCAAGGACACCCCACTGATGGGTGGGACACCCCACTGATGGTCTGGACACCCCAACTGACGGGTGGGACACCCCCACTGAGATCTTCAGAACCCCGACCCACAGCTTGGGGACACCCCCTGTGCCTCTCCAGTCCCCTCTTTCCCCCTTCCCCCCAGATCCCCCCCAGCTCACGTAGATCTCGTCGAACTTGCCGAAGTCCATGGTCTTGAAGCGGTCGATGGGCGGGCGGATGTACTCGCAGTACGAGCTCGACTTCACCACCTCCAGCTGCCTCACGCACGACACGTAGGCCAGGCGGGACTGGATCTCGGCCATGTCGGGCACCTGGGGGGTGATGCCCAAAAAAAAAAGGCAGCTTTTAAAAAAAAACTGCTTAAAGGCAGAATTTTGAGCCTATGAACAGCAGGGATTTATTGAATGATTAACGACGCCGGGGTGGCTTCCAGCTCAGGCTGGACAAAAAAATAGCTCCGAAGTGGTTCAGTAAAAACAAGCAATTTATACAGTTTCTAATCATGATTACAACATAATAATATGCATATTCATATTATTGCATCATTAGATTACAATATTCATAGCAGGTGGAGTCGGGGTGGAGATTGAGGCGTGGTCTCTATTTTGAGGAATATTTTGGTGGGAGTTCCTGCCTGCCTTCATCCTGGGGTCTGCATTTTACTCGTCTTCCTCGGGTGACATGTGTGACCTTCTGTTCTCTCCACTGTTCTCGTGTTCTAATCGTTCAAGCTTCAAGAAACCCTTGGCTCTGGGCCTACTTTACCTATTCCAATGTCTACCTTGGCTCCTCTGGATGAGATTGATGGGTGTTGAGTTCTTTGTCTGGTGTTTGTTGTGGTTCCTTTAAGGTCTGATGCTCTTAGTACAGGACACAGCCTTACAGCTTACAGTAAATGAAGTACAGGGGGTAAGGGGGGCTCTTATGGGTTTACAGGAAAAGTGTTTCGATTAACCCTTCCTCTTTCAGGGGCACCCTCACGCTGTGCCCACCGTCCCCAGTGTCCCCAGTGTCCCCAGTGTCCCCAGTGTCCCCGATCTGCCCCGGAATGCGGCCGAGGAATCGGGAAGTGCTGATTTTTTTTACAAAGCTCTCAGTGGGCGGGGTGAGGGATGGGGGATTCGTGTTCCATCACAGGACGATGGAATGGGAGTTGGAAAGGGTCGTGGAGATCTCAATCTCTACCCAGGACGCCCCAAAATGCCACCCTGTGCCTGAGAATCTCGTCCAAAGGCTCCCTGAGCTCTGAAATTGTGGAATGTCTTGAGTTGGAAGGGGTCAACGAGGGTCATGGGGACCAAACACCGCCCAGGGCACCCCAAAATCCTGCCATGGGTTCTTCTGGTATCCCCATCCCCTCCTGTCCCACCCTCTCCTGTCCTGTCCTATCCTATCCTATATCCTATCCTATCCCATCCCATCTTCCCAATCCCACCCCATCTTCCCCATTCCATCATGCCCATCCCATCCCACCCCATCCCCTCCTATCCTATCCTGTCTATCCCATCCCACCCCATCCATCCCATCTTCCAATCCCATCCCATCCCACCCCATCCCTTCCTATCCTATCCCATCTTCCCCATCCCATCCCATCTTCCCAATCCCATCCCATCCCATCCCACCCATCCATCCCATCCCATCCCATCTTCCCCATTCCATCATTCCCATCCCATCCCATCCCATCCCACCCCATCCATCCCATCTTCCCAATCCATCCATCCCATCTTCCCCATTCCATCATTCCCATCCCATCCCACCCCATCCCATCTTCCCCATCCCATCCCATCTTCCCCATTCCATCATTCCCATCCCACCCCATTCCACCCCACCCCACCCCACCCCAGCAGCTTTCTCTCCCCTCCCTGTAACAAATAACCCCAACGAGGACCTTTCCTCCCATAACTCTCAACAACCACCCCCCATTTTCACGGGAAACGCCCCCAATTCACCCCCTGTCGATGCCACAGGACCGAGGATCGACCTCTGCATCTCCCTTAGACCCAAACCATCGACAGGCCCGGGGTCTGAGAGCAGATCCAACCACCCCCCACGCCCCTCCTGGAGAAGGATTTCAGAACCCTGAGGGGTTGGGGGTCTCGGGGGGTCCCTCCTGCGCCTCGTGACTCAACTTTCTCCAACTTTCTTCAACTTCTTCAACGGGACCTTCTCCCACCCAACTCAGCCCCCCCTGGCAGGACCCACCTTGACCTTCTCTGCCCAGGGGTTGAGGCGCTTCCAGAGCAGCCACCACCCGGACAGGCTGTCCCCGTAGTTGCACAGGTCGGTCTCGTCCTGGCTGCCCACGTCGATGGCGATCACCGTCTTGGCCCCCATGTTGCGCGCGATGTCGGCTGTCGGGGAGGAAGGGGGGTCGTCAGAGGGGTGTCCCCCCACTCTGAGCCCCCTGGGGAGGGTGGTGGTGGCACAAGGGACATGAGGAGGGGGGTTGGGATGGGTTCTGTGGGTGTCAGAGCAAGGGTGGGACCTCAGGGAGGTGAGGGAGGGACGGGGTGGGGGGCACAGGCAAGCGGCAGCTTCGGTGGGGGGACGTGGAGGATGGAGGTGGCCCCGGAGGAGATCCGGGGTCAGGGCACCAGGTGGTGATGGAGGAAGGTGGTTGGAATGGTCCTGGAGGAGATCTGGGGTCAGGGCACCAGGTGGTGATGGAGGAAGGTCCTTGGAATGGCCCTGGAGGAGATCCGGGGTCAGGGCATCAGGTGGTGATGGAGGAAGGTCCTTGGAATGGTCCAGGAGGAGATCCGGGGTCAGGGCATCAGGAGGTGATGGAGGAAAGTCCTTGGAATGGCCCAGGTTGGGGACACCACAAGGTGATGGAGGAAGGTCCTTGGAATGGCCCAGGAGGGTGTCCAGAGTCAGGACACCAGTAGGTGGTGGAGGAAGGTCCTTGGAATGGTTCAGGAGGACATCCAGGTTGGAGACACCACAAAATGATGGAGGAAGGTCCTTGGAATGGCCCTGGAGGATGTCCAGGGTCAGGGCATCAGGTGGTAATGGAGGAAGGTCCTTGGAATGGCCCAGGAGGACATTTGGGGTGAGGACACCACAAGGTGATGGAGGAAGGTCCTTGGAATGGCCCAGGAGGACATTTGGGGTGAGGACACCACAAGGTGATGGAGGAAGGTCACTGGAATGGCCCAGGAGGGTGTCCAGGGTCAGGGCATCAGGAGGTGATGGAGGAAGGTCCGGATGGTGGAATGGAGCCCCAGGAGGGTGTCAGGAGTCAGGAGCCATCACAAGGTGATGGAGGAAGGTCATTGGAATGGCCCTGGAGGATGTCCAGGGTCAGGACACCACAAGGTGATGGAGGAAGGTCCTTGGAATGGCCCAGGACGATGTCCAGGGTCAGGACACCACAAGGTGATGGAGGAAGGTCCTTGGAATGGCCCAGGAGGGTGTCCAGGGTCAGGACACCACAAGGTGATGGAGGAAGGTCACTGGAATGGCCCAGGAGGGTGTCCAGGGTCAGGACACCACAAGGTGATGGAGGAAGGTCCTTGGAATGGCCCAGGAGGGTGTCCAGGGTCAGGGCACCAGCAGGTGGTGGAGGAAGGTCCTTGGAATGGTTCAGGAAGACATCCAGGTTGGAGACACCACAAAATGATGGAGGAAGGTTGTTGGAATGACCCAGGAGGATTTCCAGGGCCAGGACACCAGGTGGTGATGGAGAAAGGTCGTTGGAATGGCCCTGGAGGATGTCCAGGGTCAGGGCATCAGGAGGTGATGGAGGAAGGTCACTGGAATGGCCCAGGAGGGTGTCCAGGGTGAAGACACCAGGAGGTGATGAAGGAAGGTCGTTGTCATGTGAAGGAGGGTGGAGATGCTCCAGGAGGACATCCAGTGACACCAGGAGACCACCAAGTGTTTGGAGAGGGCTTGCTCATGGAAGAGGATGGAGAAGGATGGAGATGCTCCAGGTGCTGAGGACATCAAGGGATGATGAGGATGAAGGATGGAGGAAGGTCGTTCCCATGTGAAGGAGGGTGGAGATGCTCCAGGAGGACATCAGGTGCTGAGGACATCAAGGGATGATGATGATGATGATGATGAAGGATGGAGGAAGGTCGTTCCCATGTGAAGGAGGGTGGAGATGCTCCAGGAGGATATCAGGTGCTGAGGACATCAAGGGATGATGATGATGATGATGATGAAGGATGGAGGAAGGTCATTGGCACGTCAAGGAGGACAGAGACTCTCCAGGAGGACGTCTGGTGCTGAGGACTTCAAGAGATGATGGTGAGGACACCAGGAGAGGATGAGGAAGGGTGGAAGGAGGTGGTGGGCACGTCAGGAGGGTGAGGATGCTCCAGGAGGACACCCAGTGCCAAGGATGGCGCAAGGTGGAGGGACCCTTTTGGACACGAAGGACGAAAATCATCCGGGAAACCACCTGGTGCCAACACCAGGAGGTGCCACAAGAATGTGACACAAGACTGTGACTCTTCCAGCAGGTCAAGGGGGATGAAGATGCCCCAGAAGGACGATCAGCACTGAGGACATCAACTGAGATGGGAGGGTCCCGAGAGACGGTGGAAGATGGACGGATGCATCCTGAACGTGAAGGCACGTGGAGATGCCCTGGAAAACCATCTGATTGTGGAGAACATCAAGAGGGGATGGAGGATGATGGATGGATGGGTGGATGGATTCATCCTGAACACAAAGAAACATGGAGATGCCCTGGAAAACCATCTGATCGTGGAGAACGTCAAGAGGGGATGGAGGATGGATGGATGGATTCATCCTGAACGTGAAGGCACGTGGAGATGCCCTGGAAAGCCATCTGATTGTGGAGAACATCAAGAGGTGATGGAGGATGGATGGATGGATTCATCTTGCACAGGAAGAAAGGTGGAGATGCCCTGGAAAACCATCTGGTCATGGAGAACATCAAGAGGGGATGGAGGATGGATGGATGGGTGGATGGATTCATCCTGAACACAAAGAAACATGGAGATGCCCTGGAAAACCATCTGATCGTGGAGAACATCAAGAGGGGATGGAGGATGGATGGATGGATGGATGGATGGATGGATGGGTGGATGGGTGGATGGGTGGATGGATTCATCCTGCACATGAAGAAACACAGAGATGCCCTTGGAAGCCACCTGAGATGGAGGACCCCAAAAGAGAGGATGGAAGATGGATGGATGGATTCATCCTGCACGTGAAAACACATGGAGATGCCCTGGAAAACCATCTGAACATGGAGAACATCAAGAGAGGATGGAAGATGGATGGATGGGTGGATGGATTCATCCTGAACACAAAGAAACATGGAGATGCCCTGGAAAACCATCTGATCGTGGAGAACATCAAGAGGGGATGGAGGATGGATGGATGGATTCATCTTGCACGGGAAGAAAGGTGGAGATGCCCTGGAAAACCATCTGGTCATGGAGAACATCAAGAGGGGATGGAGGATGGATGGATGGATGGGTGGGTGGGTGGATGGATTCATCCTGAACACAAAGAAACATGGGAAACATGAGATGCCCTGGGAAGCCACCTGAGATGGAGGACCCCAAAAGAGAGGATGGAAGATGGATGGATGGATTCACCCTGCACATGAAGAAACACGGAGATGCCCTTGGAAGCCACCTGAGATGGAGGACCCCAAAAGAGAGGATGGAAGATGGATGGATGGATGGATTCACCCTGCACATGAAGAAACACGGAGATGCCCTTGGAAGCCACCTGAGATGGAGGACATCAAGAGAGGATGGAAGATGGATGGATGGGTGGATGGATTCATCCTGCACATGAAGAAACACATGGAAATGCCCTTGAAAGCCACCTGAGATGGAGAACCCCAAGAGAGGATGGATGGATGGATGGATGGATTCATCCTGCACGTGAAGAAACACGGAGATGCCCTGGAAAACCATCTGAACATGGAGAACATCAAGAGAGGATGGAAGATGGATGGATGGGTGGATGGATTCATCCTGAACACAAAGAAACATGAAAATGTCCTGGGAAGCCACCTGAGATGGAGAACCCCATGAGATGACAGAAGATGGATGGATGGATGGATGGATTCATCCTGCGCGTGAAAACACGTGGAGATGCCCTGGAAAACCATCTGAACATGGAGAACATCAAGAGATGATGGAAGATGGATGGATGGGTGGATGGATTCATCCTGAACACAAAGAAACATGGAGATGCCCTGGGAAGCCACCTGAGATGGAGAACCCCAAGAGACGAACGGACACTCCTTGAGCCGACGCCCGGCAACGAAACTTCCCCCTGGGGTGGAGAAGCCTCCAAACCGAGCCAGGACGAGCCCAACTCCGACACCTCCATCCCTCCATCCATCCCTCCATCCATCCATGTGCCGGAGATCCCACCTGGCGGGTGAGGGTGGGGAAGGAACCGCCGCTCGCGGCGCCGGCGGCTGCGGCGCCGCTACTTGCCTGGCAGGTTGTTGATGTAACCCCCGTCCATCAGCAAGTTGCCGTCCTTGGGGTCGCAGAGGGGCGGGAGGTACCCCGAGAGGGTCATGCTGGCTCGCACGTAGCGCCAGAGCGAGCCTGCGCCGGCGGGAACAAACGCCGTCAGCGCCGCCCGCCCCGCGCCCCCACCCAGGACGGGGTGGGGTGGGGGGGCTGCCCCTCGCCCTGCCCGCCGCCCGTCTGCACCCCACGGGCGCCCCCAGGGCACCCACGGGTGGCAGAGGAGCCCGTGGCGCGTCCCTGAACCGGCCCTTTGCAAAGTCCAAGTGGCTCGAGGTGGGAGGGGGTGGATGTGGTGGGTTTTTATTTTTTAGAGGGGGGTGGATGTGGTGGGTTTTATTTTTTAGAGGGGGGTGGATGTGGTGGGTTTTTTTTTTAGAGGGTGGATGTGGTGGGTTTTTATTTTTTAGAGGGGGGTGGACGTGGTGGGGTTTTTTAATTTTTAGAGGGGGGTGGACGTGGTGGGGTTTTTATTTTTTGGAGGAGGGTGGACGTGGTGGGGTTTTTTATTTTTTAGAGGGGGTGGACGTGGTGGGGTTTTTATTTTTGGAGGAGGGTGGACGGGTGGGTTTTTATTTTTAGAGGTGGACGTGGTGGGTTTTTATTTTTAGAGGGTGGACGTGATGGGTTTTTATTTTTGGACGGGGTGGACATGGTGGGGTTTTTATTTTTTGGAGGGGGGTGGACGTGGTGGGGTTTTTATTTTTTAGAGGGGGGTGGACGTGGTGGGTTTTTTTGGGAAGGGGTGGACGTGGTGGGGTTTTTTTTTGAAAGGGGGTGGACATGGTGGGGTTTTTGGGACGAGGAAAAGGGGGGTAGGTGGTTTTTTGGAAGGGGAGGCCGGTGGCCCCGGCGAGCGAGGCGGTGCTGACCTGGGACATTGTTAACATAGCAGCCGCCCACCAGCCAGTGGCTGTCCTTGGGGTCGCAGAGCGGAGGCAGGTAGGGGGTATAGGAGGCACTGGCTCGGACGTAGCGCCAGAGGCTGCCTGGGGGACGGAGAGGACACGGTCACAGCCACGGGGGAGGTGACCCACGGGGTGCCTGGGGCTGGGGGACGTCGGCAGCCCCATCGGAGCGGGGATGGGGGGTGGTTTGGGTGGGTTAGAGGGGGTGAGGGGGGATTAGTGGGTGTTAGAGGGGTGGGTAAAGCGAGAGCCAGGCTGCTGACGGGCCACCAGGGCGGCCCGTGGACGGCAAAATGTCCCAGGTGAGCTCCGCCACCGAGGCAGGGAGGAGGGGCAGCCACCACAACGTCCCCGCCACCGCCGCGACGGCCCCGCCGCTGCATCACCGTCCCCACCGCCACCACGGACCCACCACACCGTCCCCATCGCCACAATGACCCCACCACACCGTCCCCATCACCACCATGGACCCACCACACCATCCCCATCACCACAATAATGACCCCATCACGCCATCCCCACCACCACACCATCTCCATCGCCACCACGGACCCACCACACCATCCCCATCACCACAATAATGACCCCACCACACCATCCCCATTGCCACAATAATGACCCCATCACGCCATCCCCACCACCACACCGTCCCCATCACCACCATGGACCCACCACACCATCCCCATCACCACAATAATGACCCCACCACACCATCCCCATTGCCACAATAATGACCCCATCACGCCATCCCCATTGCCACAATAATGACCTCACCACACCATCCCCATCACCACCACGGACCCACCACACCGTCCCCATCGCCACCATGGACCCCACCACGCCATCCCCATTGCCACCATGGACCTACTACACCACTCCCACCACCACACCATCCCCATCGCCACCACGGACTCACCACACCGTCCCCATCACCACCACGGACTCACCACACCATCCCCATCACCACAATAATGACCCCATCACACCATCCCCATCACCACAATAATGACCCCATCACGCCATCCCAATTGCCACAATAATGACCCCATCACACCATCCCATTGCTACAATGACCCCACCACACCATCCCCATCGCTACCATGGACCCACCACACCGTCCCCATCGCCACCATGGACCCACCACACCGTCCCCATCGCCACCACGGACCCACCACACCGTCCCCATCGCCACCATGACCCCACCACACCATCCCCATCACCACAATGACCCCACCACACCATCCCCATCACCACAATGACCCCACCACACCGTCCCCATCACCACCATGACCTCACCACACCATCCCCACCGCCACAATGACCCCATCACACCATCCCCATCGCCACAATAATGACCCCATCACACCATCCCCATCGCCACAATAATGACCCCACCACACCATCCCCATCACCACCATGGACCCACCACACCATCCCCATCGCCACAATAATGACCCCATCACGCCATCCCCATTGCTACAATGACCCCACCACACCATCCCCATCGCCACCATGGACCCACCACACCGTCCCCATCGCCACAATGACCCCACCACACCATCCCCATCGCCACAATGACCCCATCACACCATCCCCATCGCCACAATGACCCCATCACACCATCCCCACCACCACAATAATGACCCCATCACACCATCCCCATTGCCACAATAATGACCCCATCACGCCATCCCCAACACCACACCGTCCCCATCACCACCATGGACCCACCACACCATCCCCATCGCCACCATGACCCCACCACACCATCCCCACCACCACGATGACCCCACCACACCATCCCCACCACCACACCATCCCCATCGCCACCATGGACCCACCACACCATCCCCATCGCCACCATGGACCCACCACACCATCCCCATCGCCACAATGACCCCACCACACCATCCCCATCACCATGCCATCCCCATCACCACCACGACCCCACCACGCCATCCCCATTGCCACAATGACTCCACCACACCATCCCCATCGCCACCACGGACCTACTACACCATCCCCACCACCACACCATCCCCATCGCCACCATGACCCCACCACACCATCCCCATCGCCACAATAATGACCCCATCATGCCATCCCCATCACCACACCATCCCCACCATGACACCATCCCCACCGCCACAATGACCCCACCACGCCATCCCCACCACCACGATGACCTCACCACACCGTCCCCATCGCCACCATGGACCCACCACACCATCCCTATCACCACCATGGACCCACTAAACCATCCCCACCACCACACCATCCCCATCGCCACCATGGACCCACCACACCATCCCCATCGCCACCATGGACCCACTAAACCATCCCCACCATCACACGATCCCCATCACCACAATGACCCACCATAATAATGACCCCAACATACCATCCCCACCATAATAATGACCCCACCACGCCATCCCCACCACCACAACAACCCCGCCACCACCGTGGCGTCCCCACCACCCCCGTGCCCCCGTGCCCCACGTGCCGGGGCTGTGGGTTACTGGGGTTAGTGGTGAGTGGGTGTGTTAGTGGCTCGTGCAGCCTCCCGGTGTCAGGGTGCAGCTCCAGCCCCCTCACCCCACCCAGTTCTGCCCCCAACCCCACCCGGGACCTGGGGCACAGCCAGCCCCCCATGGGGGCACAACAGATGGCTCTGAGAAGCCACCACCGCCCAGGTTGAGCCCCCTGAGCCCTGTCCTTGCCCCCCTTGGCACCGTTTTGGGGTGCTGGTGACGAGGGTGCCCCCCCCAGGAGCTCCCCCCAGGTCCCCAGGGCGCTCTTACCGTCCGTGTGCACGCGCATGGCCGAGGCCGTGATGTCGGTGGTGACGTTGAAGTAGGGCAGCCACAGGTCCTGCGGGGACAGCACGGGGTGGGTGACGCTGTGGGGACACCGGGGAGGGGTCCCTGAGGGGCTGGACCCTCGCTGGGGGTGATGGGAAGGTGGGGGGGGTCAGAGGGACACACCTCGATCTGCTTGTCCTGGAACACCTTGTTGATGCTGGCGTTGAAGGCCGAGCCCGAAAACATGGAGGTGATGGGGTAGGTGAGGTCCAGGACGGTCTCAAAGACTGAATTCATGCACTGGAACAGGAGGAGGAGGAGGAGGAGGAGGAAGAAAAATAAGGAGAGAAGAAGGAAGAGGAGGAAGGAGACAAAGGAAGGAGGAGGAGGAAGAGTAAGAAGGAGGAGGAAGTTGAAGGAGAGAAGGAGGAGTGAGAAGAACAAGGAGGAAGAAGGAAAGAAGAAGGAGAAAGGAGGAGGAAGAGGAAGAAGGAAGGAAGGAGAAAGAGGAAGGAGGAGAAAGAAAAAGGAGAGGAGAAGGAGGAGATGAACGAAGAAGGAGGAAAAAGGGAAGGAAGAAGAGGAAAGAGGAGGGGGGGGAAGGAGAGGAGGAGGAGATAAATGAAGAAAAAGAAAAAGGAAGGAGAAAAGAAAATGAAGGAGGGAAGAAGGAGGAAGAAGAGAAGGAAATAATGAGGAGGAAAAAGGAAAAGGAAAGAAGAGGAGGAGTAAGAAGCAGCAGCAGAAGAAAAGAAGGTGGAGGAGCAAGAAGTAGAAAGAGGACAAAAGGAGGAGAAGGAGACAAGGAGGAGGAGAGGAAGAATAAGAAAGAGGAGAAGAAGGAGAAGGAGGAGAGAAGGAGGAGAAGGAGGAGAAGAAGGAAAAGAAGAAGGGGAAGAAGGAGAGGAAGGAGGAGGAGGAGGAGAAGGAGGAAGAGAAGGAGAAGAAGGAGGAGGAGAAGAAGGAGGAGAAGAAGGAGAAGGAGGAGAAGAAGGAGGAGAAGAAGGAGGAGGAGAAGAAGAAGGAGGAGAAGGAGGAGGAGGAGAAGGAGGAGAAGGAGGAGGAGAAGAAGGAGGAGGGGAAGAAGGAGAGGAAGAAGCTGGTTTAGAAACAACCCAGGCAAGGCTGGCCGTGGGTGGGGGGCCCTGTCCAGGGTGGGGAGCCCAGCATCCACCTTGGCCACTCCTCGCCCGCTGCATGGTGCGCACGCGCGCTCCTCGGCGTAGAGAGCCCCGATGAAGGCGCCGATGGAGGTGCCGCCCACCATGTCGATGGGGATCCCCGACTCCTCCATGGCCTTGATCACCCCGATGTGGGAGCAGCCCTGCATGGATGGATTGGGAAAACCAGGATGG